AAAAATCATAAATTATTACAGATTTTTTGTTATCATCCATCAACTACAATACAGATACATCGCTTTTAGAAAAACATAATATAATGTACATAACAAAAATAATATCTACAAGTTATGAGTGATAGATGATATGAAGTATCTGTTCATATTCATAAAAAAAAGAAGAAAGAAATGAAAAATGAATTTACTGAATCTGGAACACTCCTGCTAAGAACATAGTTTTAAAATATAATGTGATAATAAATCCTAGGTTATTATTGAAACCATTCCAAACCCTTTTGTCACAAAAATACAGGCAAAAAAAAAAAAAAGTCAACGTGTCGCTAATTCAGGCATCATTAGGACAGAAAAACAGCCAATAAAACGTCACTCATACTTGAGTATGTGTTTGGATTTCGTGGAGTGATGTTCCATTAGCTATTTTTCTGTCCTGATGATGCCTGAATTGGCGAAACGTTGATGGGTTTTTTCTTTGTCTGCATTTTGGAGACAAAAGGCTGCGTGGTTTGGATTTTTTCCAATAATAACCAAACAATCATGTTCTTTCTCTTGATTATTTTGTTACATTAAGTGTACCAAATTTTGTTACATTAAGTGTACTCTTGGTATACATTAAGTGAACGCTTACCTCATAAGGCAAAATTATTAGTAACGAAAAGATAATTGAGATTATGTAGAGATTTACATATTTTATAATTTTCTTAGGAATCCTGCCCTTTTCATTATGGTCGATACCGACGATCTACTGTCTCTCGCTCTACGCCGTCAGTTTATACTTCTCAGTGGGTGCGATGAAGATGTTTATGCAGGAATCTTTTTGGAAGAGCAAAGAGTACAACGAAAAACTTCTGATTTTTATCTTAGTATCGTTCCTGTCGCATAATTTTGTTGTACCTATATCATTTTGGCTGCCAGCACCTAGACTTGTCAAGTACATAGAATTTTGGTCGCATTTAGAGGTAAGCTGGTATTTTATAGTTAGAATATGAATTAGATTTTAGAATTTTTAATTTTCGTCTCTTTGAATGATTGTATTGGGTAATAAATGAACTTTGCATCAAGAATATTTATTGACTAGGGTGACCTAACATAAGATCCACTTGTTCCTGTTCGGTAGAGTACAAAGAACGGCAAATTTTGAAAGAAATGTTATATTAGGCTGAAGTATAATATATCTAGTTTTAATAATTTTTCACAGAATTAAGGGAACTAAATGAGTTAATGTTAAAATAATATGATTTTTTTTAAAACATATTATATTACATCATATGGCATTATTGCCTAATAGGACAATAGAATTAAGCTTGCACGTCCTAGTAAAAATCTTAGTTCCTGCACAGTAAATATATTTACTTTCACTTACCATACTTCTTCCCTCCCATTTGGACAACCAAACGCCTGCCCTTACTATATATTCTCGTTCCTATTTTACTTAGTTAGTCACATCCTATTATACTCCCTTAATCTCTTGGCATTTTCTCTACTACATGAACCCTTAGCCTCTGGCTTCTGGCCATCCACCTGTCCAAATCTAACTCTGCTTCCTCTTCCATACTACAAGGACCATCCATCCAAAGTAATTAATTTACACTTTTATACCACCTGTATATCTGGTATTCTCTCCCCTTCAAATAACTCCGCCAACGTATTTCGGCTCATTATTGTACTATAACTCCATGTATCCACCAAACACTTTAATCTTCCCACAACAAATATAATTAGAAAACCAACGCACTCACCTTCAATATTATTTATTAACGCGTGGTTGCCGCTCCTCTGCCAATCTCCTCATTCTTCCGTTCTTCCTCTCCTTTCTGCCGCCGGTCCCCCACTGATTCTGTCTCCTCGAGCTCCTCTCACTACCGTCTCTTCTTCTTCCGTTCAATACGTCCCAGATGAGTCGTCTGACTCCGATGCTGTTCCTCTCTTTCTACACAATCTTTGTGAGTTATTTTTACTGAATATTATATTTTATGTTTGGTTTTATTTAATTTCTTTCATCTTGTTATGTTTTCAACATTTCATACATATTTTCATTTCAATATAATACATATTGTATATACATATGTATATAATACATATTGATTATATTAATAATTTATCGAATATTTATCAGTATTTTACTTGAACATTATGTTACTATAATTAGTTGACCTTCCAGTCTAAGTACGAAAAGGAGTTTAAGAAGATACAGAACCCACACTACGTAATGTATGTAAGCATCATATCGATCCCTTCAGCATTGGTGCACATCTTCTACGTGGCTTGGATGCTCCTCGAATCTAGTGTATGTATGACGATGGTTTTTTATCCTATCGTCATATCATCATACATGTGCATCATACTATGGTTCACATCTCTTTACGAATTGGGACTTCAAGCGAAGGCACTCAGTAATTGTATTCTCAAAGTACGTATTTATTACAAAGTTAGATATCTTTCAATCAGTAGATTTTAAGAAAACATAATAATAATAAATCAGTATTATTCACTGCTATAGATCGAGGATACTGATGTGTGCATTGAAATACATTTCTTGAATTAAAAATAAACTGCAAGTGTGGTGTAGAAAAATTTAAATAAAACAGGTAGAATGGAAACATTTTCTTATTTGCTAAAATATAGTTTTTGGCCTACGATTCGGTTGGGGGATTATAAAGGTAAAGGGATATTACTTTAAGGAATATTACATTAGGATACTGATGTGTGTCAAGGATTAAAAGGCTCTGAAACACTATCTCAAATTCGACAGAAAAAGAAGTAAAAGGGGTTATCCCACACTACAACAAAACTTCGACCTATAGGAAAGATACGAAAACTAAATAAGACATGTGCTTTAGACTACACGATAGCAGTGAAAACACAAACATAAACACAAGGGATTAATAATAAAAAATATAAATTATAAATAATAACTTATTTTAAAGGGAATGAAATGCTCAACCTTTGCACCGCTTTTAGAAAGCAGATCTGATTTTTAGTGTCAGAGATATTTTAATCCATATCTTCAATAAAACTCGTTATCGACGCTATTTTTCTCTTTTTGCCTTTCTAACACGGGGAAGCGTTAAGATACAATTTTGAATAATAGTTTACTAGTAGGCCCGTGCGAAAAATATGTCCTAGCATATTGTTATCAAATGCTAAATTAATAAGAAAATAAAATAATGCAACGTATCAAAAGATAAAGTAATCAATTGTTACTTTACCAAGAAATATAATCGACAAAGGAAACAAAATTAATTTAAATCTAAATTTTTTCTTTGGAACCAATATATTTACAAATTTCAATAAGCTGTATCTTTGCGAAAAGTTGACCGATTTCAATAATTTTTTTCCCCTTTTATAGACGATTAAGTAATGTTTTATATATTCGCAGGAATAACCGAGGGAAAAGTGTGTAATTTTTTAGTTATTCGCAAATAAAGTTTCTTTTCTTTCATAACTTGTTTGCCTGAATTTTCTGGATGATTGGACTATTTTGCCCGCCTGAAGGAGAAGGAAGCCTTCGAAATTGGTGGCTCAATCTTGAGATTTGGTGAAGAATTAACGATGATATGGCTTGCCGATCAAAAACACCATCGATAAATAATATAAACTCCTCTTTTCTCGATCATAGAGACCTCAAGTCGACGAAATGAGACATGTATCTAATGCCTTGCATTATCTCGAAAATAGTACGTTTTTGGGCTTAAAAACGCAGGATCCGATAGTTCCGGAGTCTTGCTGTACGCATCAAAATCTTCAAGGTCCAATTTGTCCCGCATCGATCTACAGATCTACCACCGCTCCAGTATTGAAGCCTAGCAAAATGTTTGTATCGACTTTATTTATTTTAGAAAGAAATACAAAAGCGGAGAATACGATTAGCTAACCCACCGTGAAATTCTGAATCCAACGGTACCCCATTCATGGTATTTGAGCATGACAGGAGTTTATATTTGGTACGAAACCGATTTCGAGCCTTACTGTAATAATATATGTACGAATTACAAAGAGGATGAAATGATAAACATTTCTCTTGCTTGCAATATAAAGGTCCGATTTTTTAGTTTTTAAGATATTTTAATCCATATGAAATAACACTCCAATTAATCGACTCTAGCCGACTTTAATCTGAGGGCTCAATCTAATTTATTCTCCTAAAAAAAAAAAAAAAAAAAAAAAGAAGTACAAAACACTTCAAAAAGAAGAGGGGGGAAATTCAGATGAATATATTTTTCTATGGAACTAAAGGGTTTGAGAGAGTTCCTTGGATAAGGATACCGAATCTGGAAATAGTCCTGACGAAGAGGGCTTGAGAAAAGTGCACTGGAGAGATCAGTTGAAGGTGCTGCTCGTAAGAGAACTTGAAAATAGAGCTTAGGCAAGAAGAAAATTAGAAGGACAAGAAGGAACAGGGAGATGACATTCCCGGTACCAGACACCAGAAAGAAGTAGCTGAAGATTCTAACGTATTCCATAACCAGTATAAGTAGTAATGTCCATTCAAAACCTACTCATGTAAATTTGTGTTGGCAATTTATAAAATAATACAAAGATAAGACATGTCCACATTACCATCCTCGTAGCAATATTACTTTCGAATATATTTTTTTTAGATGAGAATTTGATTTGTAGCCTTTTTTATGTATAATGAGTAAATAGGTAACACAATACATTTCGAAAAGAAACCTGATATGAATATATAATTCAATATATCATAGTATTTCACAGTGAAGGTAGCTTTCCTATTCATATTAAATAAATAAGTATTACATTTTTAAATAGATCGGTTCCTTTCTGGGACAGATAGATATAAAAAAAACTACGTACTAGAAATATATTAAATACACATATATGCTGTTTCTCATAGTACCTACCACTCGCCCTATGAAAGTGGATAGCCAAAGATAGCATAACATCTATGTTATTAATTGCATTATACACTGACAGAAATTAATGAAAAAATATATATCATATTATGATTATTTTAATGATATCTTAGCATAGACTGATGAATGATTAAACCCCAGGAAGAGCGGCTCTCCGACCTGGACAATAGCCGGCGTTGCTGGGCCACCATCAGCCAGCTCTGCACGGACACCGGGTACTGCCAGGGCACCGCCTGCGGCTACCTGTCGCTCACCGCCTTCGTGTCCTACCTCATCAGCATCTACGGCTTCTTCTCCAGCATCAACATCTTTGCCGAGGAAGCAAAAGTAGAGTGGCAGCTACTCTTACCGCTTATATTCTATTCTTTGTTCTTCTACGCCATGTTCGACAGGGGCGAAAGCACGACAAAGGAGGTATAGTTATGCCCAACAAGTTCCTAATTCACATGGTATACATTGGCCACTTTTTAAAGACCATCCCCAATCTTCATTTCTACTCATGATCTCCCACTTTTCAACTGCTCGGCCTTCAGTGAATGGCCACGGTTTAGGTGGAAACAGAAGCGGATTCAGGATTCAATTATGAGAGTAAAGGTTTTTTTTTTATTTTAAAGTCTCTTGCGGAACCTCGAGATATAAATAGAGAACAAAAAAAAAAAACATAATATTTTTGATGACATACATAGTTAACTTTTGAATGCTGTTAAAAGTTGCTCACCGAAAAAAAGGTTTTTTTCTCCATCCTAATGAACGGCCAATGGTCCACCGCTGTAAAAGCAAACTAACATCTTAGTTAAATCTGGACATTTATTATCAGTTTGTCACTTTTCAGTCCAAAGTGTTTCACCAATTAATTTAAATAAAATATATTTATTTTGTTATGCTACGGATCAGTAGCGGATTCAAATTTTAATTTAGGAGGCGGATATTCTTTTATTTTAATTATTGCGGTAATTACTCTGGAAGAAATCGAAAAAAAAAAATGTGAAATGTTGCTTCAGTGATCTTTGAGGAACTGTTAAAAAAAATCTGGTGCGGTGCGCAAATCACGCCTTCTTCTTACCGCTCTCTTCTTAGTGGAAATAAGTATTTTCAGACAAAGGGGAAGTGAAAGTAAAAATTATAAACGCTATACTGATTTATATTTCAAGTGGGTACTTTTATTTGTATAAGTACCTTTAAATATACAAATTTTAATATTTATATCGATATAATCTATACAATTAAATATTAAATAACTCCAACAATAGCATTTATGAAAACCGCATATTTATATTTACATAATATTGTCCGGGTCCTAATTATATTAAGCTCATGTTACATATGGAAGCGTGTTCTAATCTTTCGTGCGAGCTCGGGTGAGCTTGTGTTCCTTAGGTTCCTTATTTACAACTATTCTCCGTTACGATCTCTTATTCTCCTTTATTTAATTATTAAATTATTTCATATTTTATATTTAACTAACTCTTATATCAGAGATGAATGTGGAACTGTCAATTATTTTAAATATAAACAATTAAAGGCACTTTAGGGGAGTAAATAAATAAATCAGATGTTTGCAGCGGGTCCACCTGTGATAACGATAAGGGAATAACAGCTTCAGATTCTTTGATTTGGTCATCTACTTCTTTCATTCTATAGTATGATCCTCTTATTTTGAAAAAAACCTTTCCTATAAGACTCACTGGTATCTATAGTTTTTAATTTGATTAAGCATGCGTTTATTTTTCTCCCTTCTTCTCTTTCTTTGGGAGTCTTATCACGACTTAAAAATATGTTTTTATTTTTTTAAAATATCCCTACACTTAAAAATTTATTGATTTACATTATTGTTGTTGATTGACCGCAATATTGGGCCTTTCCGAAGTCTATAACAGGTGTTAACTGCATAATCTGAGATCGCTATATTACACTCCGTGAAGCAGTCTGTAACTTTATTAAGTGTATTTTAATTTTCATTGAAAGGGATATTATGGATCAAAAAATTATTCTTTTTTATCAGCCAATTTAAAAAATTGATTTCTTTTTCGAGTTTAGCATTCTTCAACTCTAGGTTTTGGCAGGCATTTTTTAACCACTCACATTCTTTTAATACGTCACCTATGAGAGATTTAGTAATTCCCAGCGATATTTTCATTTCATTAATAGCTCTCCTTATGCCATCGTTGGAACACATTATTAGGAAAAATATATGTAAGTGCTTGGCAGTGATTTGATAGGATACGGTGTCACTGACCTTCTACAGCTGGAGTCATATATAGACACGGGTGTGGTGGGGGTTTGTAGGTTCAGTTCAGTCTACCGATAAGCAGCCCAATCTTGGCAGTAGACTAATTTCTTTACAATTTTCTCCTATCGAAAAACTTGGTGAATTTTAACGGTATTTGAAAGATGAGTTGCTGACAGACAGAACAACAACCGTGTAAACTTTAAACTAAATTAGGAGAAAAAAAATAATGAGAGAGAGAGAAATACTTTATTTAAAGCAGTGCTACCCTACTATATAGGGTTGCTCGATACACAGCATACTCAATCCTTTTTTTTTTTTTGGACATAGCACTCAATCATACTTAATCATATGTTTATATATATATATATATATAAATTCTTTTTCATATTACACAGCACAAACAATATCAATACTATAATATACTATAGAACAACTAAGACCCGATGTATACTCGTTGCCGGCCGTGGCTAGACTCTCACCTACATTTTATTCTTTATATAATTTTATAATGATACAAAATGTCACCTTTATTTCAAAAAGAATAAATATTATATATATGACTTTTGGTTCTAATATTCGATAAGATATATACTTAATAAATATTTATTTATATGTATATATATATATATATATATATATATATATATATATATATATATATATATATATATATATATATATAGTTTCGGCTGACCAACGTACTATATGTATATATAGTACGTTGGTCCAAAAATATGTATATATATATATATATATATATATATATATATATATATATATATATATATATATATATATACATATACATATATATATATATACATATATACTTAATTTCACTCGTAAAATTAAGGGATCCAAAAATTTCAACTTTCTGTTTGTTGGGAATTAACGAGACCAATCATTTTCTTCAGCCAAAAAAAAACAAACTAATTTAAGCTGGAATACAAAAATATGCGTAAATTTCATTCAACTTTGATGTTTAGGAGGGAATAGAGACTACGACGAGCTGGCTGAACTTCAGTAGAAATAAACACAATCACAAAAAAGACTTTTTTTATATACTCAGAATAAAAATTAATTCTAAATTTACTGAACATCACACAAAATATAAGTAACGGCAGTAAGTGTCATTCCAGTAACGTTTGGAATCGACTAAACAATAAAGTATAAATTAAGTTTTTGAATAAAACATTATTAAAGTTTATAATCTCATACAAATATTGTATTAACCTAACCCCATTGAACATGATCAATGCCTTCCACATTTCACAGCCATTATATTGTTAACAGTTATTTATATTAATTTTAATTATTAAATGGAATTCAATGAAATTGATACTATGCAATTTCTATACTGTTCTCAAAATTTCCTCCAAGTTTCAGTCAAATTGAACTAGCCGTTTTCAGACTATAGGCGTGTGAAATAATACATTTACTAATCCGAAAGCGGAAGTATTTTTGTTGTTGAGATTATTGGATATAATTTGTTAAATTTAATATTCACTTAATCATCTTTTAACTGATCCCTAACTTCTCTCTACGTTTGAGCCTAATCGAACGTGTGGTTTTAGATATATAGGCATATCAAGGAAAACACATTTTCGCCTATATCAGATAAAGTAGGACAGAATCAAAGAAAACTGAGACTACCTCAATTTTTTTACCAATATCTATATTTTATCCAACTTTGAGCGAAATCGAGTGAACCATTTCTGAAATATTGGCATATATATGAAAATACATCCGCTATCAGAAGTGGTGGATGGAATTTGATAAAATTGAAATGGGACTATCTAAACACCATCGCGCACAATCCCTAAAAATTTCATGAAAATCGGATGAAGTAGATTATATGCCCGTCACATAAATTTGACTACAGACAGACGCCGAACCAAATTTGATTCTTGACGTCTGAAACGCAAAAAAGGAGTGATTCTGAGTAAACAATTTTTTTTTTTTACTTTTCGCACAAAAACAATAATTCCCTACCTTCGGTAGTGAGGAAGCAAAAATTAAATTACAGAATAAAAATAATGTAATGCAGAATAGTAATAGTATTCTGTAATAGTAATATGGTTACATCAACAAATATCGCATGAAATCGAAAAAGATACGTCACAAAAATAGCAGTAAAATACCTATATTTCGATGAAAGAAGAAAACGAATGAGCAGATTTACAAGTTTTGTTATTCACATACCATGAAGTAGTAGTTATGGCAATATGAAATACTACTGCTGAACTCAGGAAAAAAAATGAGTTATAGTCATAAACTACTACGCTGCAAAAACGATCATTAAATATCTTCATGCTACCCAACTACATCGTTTGACGCCATGTGATTAATTTATTTATGTAATAGTCAGATTTTGTGTTAAATACGGTACAAACCGAACTATCATCTATTCTATCTGCAGTAGAATATAAACATTATGAGCAATCACTTACGAACAGAGAAAATAAATCATTACCTTATTACTTAATAAAATTACTTGCCCTCAGACCTTTCTTCTTTTTCACATTAGCTTAAATAAAACGTGATTTTTTTGTTCCAAATAATAATGTAAAGTAAAGGCAAAAGTACAATGAGATCTATAAGTTTAGGAAATTCGATTCCCAGAAATTTACAAGCAAAACAATGGACTGAGCATTGATTACAGCCCAAAAGCAATGAGATACCCTTATATTCAGGGCCTGTTATCATAAAATTATAAAAGGCCCTGCTATTATTATAATTCAGGCCAAGTTATTATAATCCATATACATCAATTTTTGTTTTTATTTTCTTCCATGAGCCCATGTATATAATTTAAGTGAGTGTGCTTGTGTTTCTAAAAAAATGGGAAACCTTACTTGGGTTTCCTGATATCTGACGGTTTAGTTTAATCATCTCCTTTCGTTACATGCATGTAGTTCTATAAGTATTTAAATAGTTTTTATTTGTATTATACCAAACAATACTCAAACACATACACACACACACACATATGTATATAATTTGAGATAGCCTCTTTTTGTCACAGGTTGGAAGTAACTTCATAGCTATGATTTTGAAAATCAGGGATACGCAGCCTTGTCTTGATGATAATGATGAAGTACTGATAATTTATATTTGCCTAGATTTTGTTAATTTATTAATTAATTTATTTTTATACAAATCCTCATTTTAAACATTTCAGATATCGCTATTTCTTCTTACTATGTACGTTGGTCAGCCAAAACTAACCTTCACTGGGTTCACAGTTGTTAACAGAGGCCTCATTAAATCTGTGAGTTAGTCGTTGAATGTATATAATAGTTTAATTAGATTTTATTAAAGAGATAATAATTTGTGATCAGACTTTCTAAAAATACATCATTTAATAATTTAAATAGTTTAATAATTAATTTTCTTTACAGCTCCTTTCAAATACTTTGACCTTCTTACTTGTTTTGATACAATTCAAGAGTTGAAGTTTCTCAACTACTGGGTGTGCAGCCAGACATACCAAGAATTGCATTAGTGCAATTGTAGAATTACTTCTAGTATTATAGTAGAATAACTTCAGTAATACAACGTTAATTACTGACTAGTTTTATTAACCTAAACCACGAAATTTTTTAGAAATAAAGTAAATTTAAATTTGATTATGTATATACATTTAGCTCCTTTACGCATACAAAAAGATTTACAAAAAAATACTCATCCACGTACATTTTATCATCATTGTATCTATTTTTTTTCTCATTAAGTGACGGTGTAATTTCTCAAAAAATCTAGCTTGGCGAACTGCAATCTTCGATGTTTATATATATATGTAATATAAGAGGATGCTGATAAATTATTTAAATAAATTTTTTTAATGCTAAGTATATGAACTTTCACTAAAAATTTGAGAGATGGAAGTTCAAACGGATTTTTTTTTTTTGTTATAACTTGTTCATTAAGAAATATTACAATCTGTCTCAAAGGTCATTTATTATAGTGTTCAGAGATCACATTCACACTCTATGTACAATAATCAAATATAAATTAAACAGAAAAAAAAATCTATATACACAATAAATAAGAATAAAATAACTTAAAAATAATTAAATAAAAACAAAAACATATATACCTATGTACACTATTTGCAATCGGGCGAGGGAACTCCGAGCCATACTTGTCCCTCTAACTGAGGAGGGAAAAGCATGACTCCAGGAGATCTCTGCACTTATCTCTCAACCGCTAGACAGCTAAACCCAGTGGAGATTAAACGAGAGCGCTTTAGCCACATACACTCATGTCGCGAGTGGAGAATCTGGCCATTTCAATAACTCCAATATATACAAATTATAAAAGGTCGCGGCGCCACTGAAATTTTTACCTTCTTGCAGAAATATAGGGATGTGTGCTGGTGAATAGGGATTATGCAAGGGGATTCGGATCATAAGTAAGGTTCTGGTGAAATTTGGAGAATTTTTCTGGGATAAGGCCAAGATACCGGACTGTGTCTGAGAAAGGAAGCTGGATGGAAGTAAAGTGTACTGGTGGACAGGAATTGCGTCGGAGTGTGATGGTAATTTGTTGGCATTTGAATTCATTTACTTTAATTCACTATTTATTACACCAGTTCTCTATCAGAGAGTGGTGTCTTTGAAGGTTTAAGAATGCTATGTCAGGATCTGAGTCGGATGATAAAATGGCGGTATCATCAGCAAATGTAGCCAAGAAAGGTATCGGGATGGATAGGTATATCGGCTGCTACGTTTTGGGGTGTTGAAATTTATTCGGGATGCCACCGGATAATTACTTTAATTTCTTTCTTAGGCTATTTTATATAAAGTAATATAAGAAAAAAAAAGGCTTATTTCTGGTCCAAGGACGTCGTTTTTGTGACCTAGTATTAGTAAGTAAGCTGGTAGTATTTTTCGTCGATTGCATATATTTGGGCTGCCAAACAAGCATAGGCTATTCCTTTAGAATTTTTTGTAGCGGGGAGGAGGAAGGAACACTACGAGAACCAGAGGTGCTCAGAAGGAAGTTTCATGGTGCAAGTTGCGCCATCAAACTTTTTAAGGGGGGGGCATATTTTACGGGGTTATGAATTTTCAGAATGAAAAGTTTCAGAATATGGGGCAAGGAGAAAACGTGGAATAGAACGCAGCAAGTGGAATTGTGCATGGGGATGGGGTGCCCGAATGGGCTAAGGCGTGTGTACAGCACCGCGAATTGCCCGGCAACCAGATGACCTGAATATGAGATTTAAAAAAGTACGAATTCGCCTCCCGGTGCCGGAGGGGATTTTAAATTCCACACCCTCACCCTCCGGCCCGAGAAAATCCCGTGTAGCCTAAAAGGTGAGGTAGGGAAGAACAGGAAAAAAAAAGAAGTGGAATTGTGTATGATCTACTTTTTTCTAGTTCTACTTTCTCTTGCTGTGTTTGTATGAAAAGGTAAGCAATGAAATATATTGGGATGAGGTTGATTAATTGTTGTGCATAGACATTCTTGGTATATCTGAAGTGAAAAGGAATTGGAGAAGTGCGCCTGGATAAGGGTTACACTCTCATTAATGCAGGGAAAATGGTCAAAGATTGATAGATTTTTGCGTTGATAATAACATGTTTATTAGTAACTCCTTCTTTACCCATAAGAGAGTTCTTAAAACAATAGAGGTGCTGAAATAGACACGGATCATTTGCTTTTGGTCGCAGACACACTGATCATGAAGCCCTAGAAACATTAAATTTAAGGCATACGAGAAGGTAAACGTGAAAGCCCTTGATTCGGTGAAGAAAAGACAAGAATATGAGGCAGGCCTGAAGCAAAACTGAAAAAGTTAGACGATAATGTATCCTATGTACGTGTAAGCAGATGAACCGCTGAACACATTTAAGAAAATAATTTGGGTATTCCCCATAAAAGTTTCGAATTCTATCTAATGTTCAGATCTTTTTTTTTTTTTTTAGTATTATAAAATCTGTCTCTTGGAGAACAAAATAATAATCAAAAGTATATACAATAGATAATAAAATAAAATAACCTAAAAAATAAGAAAATCAAAACTAAGAAAAAAACAAAAACACATGCATACTTATATAAAATCAGGCGAAGGAACTCCAGGAGAACCCTGCGCTACTCTCCCAACCGCGTCACTGGTACTAAAACCAGCGGAGATTGGTCGAGAGCACTTTAGCCACATACACTCATGTCTTGAGTGAAGAATCTGGCCATTGCCAAACTCCAATTTATACAATCTACAAAAGTTCGCGAGGCCACTGCCGTTTCAACCTTCTTGGGGGATTATAGGGATGGGAGATGCTTGATATGGATTATGCAAGAGGATTTGGGTAGTACGTAAGATTCTGGTGAAATTTGGAGAATCAGATTTTTTAAATTATTTTCTAGATTAGTTTTTTTTATAAATTTCCGTTTAATCCGAAAATCTTCAAGTTGTGATAACATAAAACATCAGGGTTCTTTCTTATCCGAACCCCTACTCCGCTATCTTAGCCCCTACACCGCTGTTACTCGCTTTCTTAGTCTCCACTGACTTCCAGAACAAAAACACGGTGAAAGAGATGCACATAGGTCTCAAAGGATCTAACGCACTTTACGCCTAACATGTAAGGGGAGGAGAGCGAGTTTTGGGGGGCGCTTTCCTAGTTTAAAATTAGATATAAGTACAAATGAGAACGAATGTTTTTATTTTATCATTATCATTATACTGTAGTTCACTGGCGGATCTGCGGAAGGAGCTTTCGGACTGAAGCCCTTCAAAATGGTAAAATATAACCCTGTCTTATAAAATAAATATTAAAACCTATCTCTGAAAATATAATTGTTAGTCTAATTACATTTAATAGAGCTTCAATAATCACTTAAACGCCATTTTATATAGATAATTAGTTTTTTTTTCTCAGAGAGTAGTAATCATTATTTATATATCTAAAAAAAAATAACGCTCTGAGCTGAAGCCCCCCCACCTAAAAAAAAAAAAAAAAAAAAAAAAAAAAATTCAATCCGGAATCCGCTAATGCTTTAGTTGGACATCTTAAAATAATAAAATCGTTATTTAGATGGTTTATTCTCCTTTTTTATTATTTCACTTTATTCAATTATTATTTTGATCATTTATTATTTATTTGATCTTCATTGCAGTGCATTGTAATATTGGTTAAAAAATATTCTTTTAAACAGTAATCAAAATGTGGTCCTACTGGATTGGTTGAACTTTGTATTTGATACAAAACATAGAGCTCAAGAATCCTTGTAAGGCCAAGAAGACATTCAAGTCTCTCAGAGAATAAAGAGTTCTCTTTATTAGATAATGTCTTAAAATCCATAAATTATTGATGACGTTCTTAAGAAATGATCCATGGTTATGTAAGCCCAAGCATGGCCAATAAAACAAACAAGATGAGAAACCTCTAATGACTAAATGGGATTTGTCTAGAGCGGTTTCAGAGCAGAAGCGAACCTCACTGCTCTAACATGTCATATGTAAGTCTTGCCATCAATATTATTACAATTAAGCTTTAGTACAAGTAGTTTTATACAAACACTCGTGTAGGATATAGTATTTTAAAACTCCATTTTAAAAGAATTTTAGATTTTTCATTAATTATTTGATAGACTCTTTATCAAGAATTTATCTTTCTGTTTTATAACTTTCTAATTGAGGTATTTCAGGTAAAAAAATTGAGGTAAACAAAATTAGACTTTAGGGACTTTCTAGTTTAGTTATGAAACTGAAATTTATAATTTTAGATTGACTAATTCAGACCTACCACATCCGAAACATCAATTACCCAATTTTTTTCTTCTTTTCCTTATGTTATTTTATGTTTAGACTTAATTCTAGCAATAAAAGTTATTGTTCACAACAAACCAATAAAGAAAATTCAAAACATTGGTTATATAATTTATGATGCACAAATCCTAATTTTAAATATAAATGTAAACATGATCAAATCTTACATTCAACTTTATTCTTAAAACACTTACATAATTGGAGTTAAAACAAAAAATAAATTGTAAAATGGAATTATGTGTAACTGTAGTAAAAGCAAGTTCTTATCAGCCAGATTACAAATTTTGAATACATTAAATGTAAAAGAAAATTAAATTACACTAATATGTTTACATTCACTTGCATAAGTACAGTGGCCAAAAAAAGTATTCTTAAACCATATTTCTTAGTCAAAAATCTTTTTATTTATGTTTTCAACATGAAACAAATATAAATAACAATTACAAATTTTGTTTTGCATTAATTGTACAAAAAATTAAAATTTTATAACTCATATTTACATACTCTGATACTCAAATATGAACGGAAAAAAAAAAAAATATTCGTACATTAAACTAACCCAAATAAAATATAATAAATATCAGTCTCAATTAATTTTAATATTTTTCGGTATCCTATCACAGCATTGAGTCTTCTTGGCATCGATTCCATTAGCCTCTTGTTCTCCTCTGGTCCAAATTCTTCCCATGCTTTCTTAAGAGAGGAAAAAGAATATTTTTTGATTTTCAATTCCAGCAGTGCCCATAAATTTTCAATTGGATTAAGATCCAGTAATTGAGGAGGTGTTTTGAGCGTTTTGGAAACAATATATAGCAGCCATTCTTTGGCTTTATTGGCTGTGTGCTTGGAATCGTTGTCCTACTGAAACATATGTGTCCTCCATTCCTAACTTTTGCTCACTTTTAATTAAATTGCATTGTGACACATTCACATATTTGTTAGCATTCATAATCCCTTCAATAAAGGCTAGTTCGCCAACTCTTTTGGCACTCAAACATGCCCCAAACCATGACACTGCCCATCCATGCTTCAATGTGGGTTGTAGATTTTGGGGTTCAAATGCCTTTCTTTTTTTCCTCCAAACATATTTTTTTCCATCAGATCCAAATATACTACACTTTATTTCGTCTGAGAGCAACATATTTAGCCAAAACATGCAGGGTTTATTTAGATGTTCTCGGACAAACTCCAGTCTTTTTTGTTCATTTTTTTCCATTTATACAAGGTTGTACGAATACTTTTTTTGCCCATTGTATGTTCTTTTACCTACGTAAATATTTATATTTATTTGTAAATTACTTTAATAAATGTCATAAATAATCTTTTGAAATATTTGTTAGAGCTTTTATGATCTATTAATTGTTATTAAATCACTTATAAGGTTTTCTAAGTACTGATCAAAGTATCTTTTATCCCATAAAGCACATTATTCCATTAGCACATTAATTTGGCCACATTATTCCAAATAAGCAGAGCTCTTCAGAATTTGACATTAATATTAGGAACAGGTTATAATTTTAATAGTAAAAATTCAGGCATTCGTGAGGTCTAAGTAATTGGAAAATAAAAATATTAAGAAATGAAAAAAGTATTAGATATGTAAAATATAAGAAGTTATTATTTAAACATAGCACAATAATGTTTATGTTTAATAATATTTTCTTATCTGGAAACATGATATTTATTTGTAGTGATTAAATAATCTCTTCCTAGCACAGTGAATAGATGATTCTCCATGAAGCGCGTGATAATGTTGCTTATAGATTAATCCATCACCGCTTATGATGATTTGATTTAATTTACGATATTATTTTTAAATTTAGTGTTATGTCATTGAATGCAATTTCCTTGATTTATGCATAGATATTGAAATCTCCTAGCATCCAAGTTTCAAAATCTTTGAATTTTTTTTTATTTACATTTATGAATAAATGAAGTGAACTTGATTTGTAATTTTTGACTTTACATTAATTTCAGAAGCTGATATTAAGGCCCAGCTGGCCCGATATGCATGGGAATCTCTCATTATGCCATCTTGAGAGGGGGACTCGGGACCTTCAGAGTGATTGCGGACAAACTATACTGGTTTGCTTATTTTTTGCAACTGTAATATTCCATCTGAAACATCACACTACATCGGTGAATATTTTGTAGCTAAATTATTCTCTTAGAAAAATGTTAATTGGTAATACTTGATCTCATTGTCGAAACCACCTTGTTTTTGGGAAGTCCATTCCTTTCATTATTTGAAAGAAATCTTCTGATTAAAAGATAATATGGTTTGAAAGGAAAAATTAATTTTATTTTATATTATTCTGAATACTAAATTAATACATAAAACATTTAATAATTTCATAAAACTAAAAACTTGAAAATATTATACAAAATAGATTCAGCTTAAAAATAAAAAAATAGAAAACCTATAACTCAAAATGAAACTTTTTTACCCAAACATCTGGTAACTGTATTATAATACTTAAACAGAAATAATATCAAATGAAGGCTTCCTCTATAATTTTTCTCAGAGATTTTCGATGGCAATTATTGGGGCATTGAAGTTACAAACTATTTACAATCTATTTGAGTAGAATAATTTCGTCTATTTGATTTTTTAAAAAATATTACTAAACAAAAATGAACACAAATATACAATGGTTTTTTATTATTATGTGATATATACATGTTTGTATTGACATTTACATATGAAATGAAATATTTGACTCTTTTCTGTGAGTGAATGTATTTCCAATACACAAATTAATGAAATTCTTAATAGAATTCTTAGCTTGATGTTATGAACGAATGCATAAAATAATAATTAAATAAATATTGATTACATAAATTGAATCCATTAGGCTATTATTAGATTCCCTGACCTTATTCTCATAAACAAAATTCTGTTTCAGGCTTCTAAATTGCCTCTGGCCTTGCTCTGCAGTATTGTGGGAATTATTTTGTCACCTATTGTGCTTTTTATATTATTCTTATGCGGTATTTACCGTTTGATTGCACGGGCTACTCTGTACACCATGTACTCTAATTACCAAGGTTTAATGAACGGTGCTGATGCATATTGGAGCTTAGAGGTGGATAGCTCCAAGGCTGTGATTAATATAATTGCTTATGTTGAGTTAAAGTCTAGTGGTATGTGTTTTTTAAAATTTTAAATATAATTATTTTCTTGCATCAGAAAATACAATGCCTATATACTTCTTCCTTTATTAATATGTGGTTATCACTTACTTAATTTATATAAATATTCAATTAATGTTCCTTAATTAATTAAGAAATTAACTAAAGTTTTACTAAATTATTTGGAAAAGAATTATCTGCCATCAAAAAAATATAATAATATAAATAGAAATATATTTGTTTAGGTTTCACAGACCTCAGGTGTTCTTTGAAAAAAATATTTCAAGACCGCTTATTATCAGAAGTGCGGCTTTTCAAGTTGAAATGTCTTAGGAAGCTTTCAATGTTTGGGTACTTTTACTGGGAAGAAATGGAGGAAGTGTGCATAGATGACCACATTCGATGGATGGATTTAGACACAGTAACAGATAATTCAATGACAGATTATTTATCTAAAAATTGCAACAATCCTTTGCCTCAGAATAACTTGTCTCTCTGGGAAGTTGAAGTGGCTAAACATCCGCTGACGAGAGATGGTAGACGTTTGTACCCTGTACTGTTTAGAATCCATCATGCTGTGGGCGATGGGATGGCTCTGGTTAGTCTATTCCTCAGTAGTTTCACCGATAACTGTTTAAGCAACAGGCTAGAAGCTATTCAGGAAAAACAAATGAAAACGATGAAACAGGATACAGGACCAACAAAAGATTTATTACAAGTACCTTATCAAAGAAGAAGGAGGAAAAGTTCTATTTTTCATGGAGATGAACTAAATAAACTAAACAAACATTGCATTTATGGAGTTACGACTATGTTACAGAAGATTTCAGTAGTTCTCTTAGCTCCATATGTTCTACTTTCACAAGCTTGTTATGGGGTTGACAAAAATTTACTACATGGAGCTGAATTGGTTGGTAAAAAGCATGTAGGTTGGGCTTATGGTAATGGCACTTTGACCAAAGTTAAATTTATAAAGAACAGATTAAACTGTTACTTCACAGATGTGATTTTATTAGCAATTTCTAATGTGTTTGAAGAATACTATTCCATGTATGGAAAACCACCTAGAGACTTGACTGTTGTGATTCCTGCTAGGATGCCATATGAAGATGAGTTTAATACTACAAATATACTGACTAACAGATTCACTGTTGGTATGATCAAACTGCCGATTGCTGATCCTGATAAGTTCCAAGCAGTCCGCCGTTCCGCAGACCGACTGAGAACTCATCCAGATTACCTTGTCAATTATTGGCTTCTGAAGGTCATCTGCACATACATTCCCATAGTTCTCCTAAAAAGTGCTATGGAGAGCAGGCAAGCTACTCTCGCAATGAGTAACATTCCAGGACCAAACTCTTTGACAAAAATAGATGGAAATCTTATCCATGACTTGGTATTTTTGCTGCCTAACAGAGACACGACAGGTGAGAATAAATATTATAGCTGGGCTTATTGCTTAAAAAAATTATTAGTAAATTCACTTTTAAAATAGCAGCAAGTATTTAAGTTGATATTTCTTAATAAGTTAGTTTTTATTTACAACTTTCAGGTGTTGGGGTTTCAATGCTAAGCTATGCTGGAAAGATGAATTTTGGATTAATAGTGGACAGTGCTCTAATTCCTTATAAAGAAGATGCAACCCATATTGCTCAAAGGATGGTAGCTGAGATTGATAAAATATATTTTTGTGTTAAAGACAAATGTGGCTAAAACTATAGAATTGACAATGAAGCACATATTTTTTCTTGTTTTTTTTTTTAAATAATAAAACCAACTTATTGTTTAGGCAACTTTTTACCCAATCGGTTTATCCCTGACAGATTTTTGAAGAATACGTTACATGTTTAATTCTTGAACTTATTTTTTAAACCCTTATTTTCTGATTCATTCTTATTAATTTTTTTTTTACATAGTTGCAGGCGGAGATGCCCATCTCCCTCCCCCAAGGCCAATGCAAAGCATAAACCTTTCCCAACCCCTTCCAAGATATTTTATGCCTCTCTTCTTTTTAAAAACAGTGCAAATGAAAGTAGAATTTGAATATTTGTAGATTATATACCATTACAATCATGTGTTCTGTTCCATGATTCCACTGTCTTTTGATTTGAACTTTTCATTTAAAAAATTCACAACCCTGTCGAAATGTGCCTCCTCACAATTAGATAACTCCTTCAAAAAGTGCTCCCTTCATTAATTATGATGGCAGAACTTGTGCCATAAAACCCCTTTCTTGGCACTGCTGGTTGCAGGTAAGTTATGGACAAAATATAGTTCAAAAATCTATTGTATGAAATAGATTTTGAATTAAATTTTGTATAAGATACTGGAAAAAATTATAAGGGATGATGCAAGAACATGAAATATTATCCAGGTGACGGTTCAGGAGTTGGATGAAAAAAACATCAAATAACAGATATTTTTTTAGGAGCAGGATGATCAAGCAGGTGTTCAAAGTATGCATTGCTCGGTGATCTGGTAAATAAAAAATAACATGATAAAATAATTACGAGTTCACTTCCGGCACCGTAGGGAAGGGAAGGCTTTTAGCTCTGGGATTAATTCCTTTCCCTCTCCACGGGCAAAAGAAAAATACCCTATGGGAATGAAAAGAGGAAGAAGTTAAGAAAAAAAATAAAAATGGTATTTGTTTAATGATATTGAATAAATATCAGATATTTGATGTTTTTTCTGATTCGCTCTTGGACTATCTCCATCTTGATTTATTATATAGTCGACCATCGATTCTGATTATGTTGTTTTTTACCAGTTTATGCAATCAAAAATTCAAAATAAAAAAATGTAAGCCATTATTCTACTTAAATTAAAATAATGCATCATAAAATAATGTGGCAAAAAAGTGTGTTTCAAAACAAATGGGACTTGTTTATAAAATTTCATGGTACAATCATTTAGATATATTAAATTGTAAATATTCATGAGATAAAAATAACAGAGATCCTGCAAAAAGGAAAAAAAAATTGAGGTTTTATACCCTGGCACTAAACTTATGGCTCAATTAAATTTATAAACGGCACTAAAAACATAACACTGACACAGGGAAGTAAAGAATATGCTTTTATTTGTTTGTTATTATTTTGGTTAGACAATTATTTTCTCATAACTAAAACTTAGAGGTACTTTAGAACATTTTAAAAATATTTGATTTTCTAAACTAGTCAAACAGAGATATTTTATTTTCAATAAGAGTGTTGCATTCAACTTTATTCAACTTAGGATTTTATTTGATGCGGATTTCAAAATTTGCCATGAAGTGAAATAATTCTTGTAATATACCTACATTTTTATTTTCTCTCTTAATAATTTTATTATTGAATTACTTTTGAAGTAAGAGTGTGCTCTAATTACTTGCGCTCAAATTGTAATTTATATAGTAAAGCATATTCATGTTGCTGCTATCGTAATTTTCAACAGGCCCAGCAATAATATATAACATTCACAGGCAGGCACATCATAAGGTTCTGGAAATGTTTCAATTTGCTTAAAAAGTTCGGTCAATAGGTTATAGAATTTCTCTCAACTTTAAAATCTAACAGAAAGAAAAAAATAAACCAGGTTGAAGTAGTGATGAGGGTCCATGTTGTGGTAACTACTTTGTGGTCTTAGATTGGCATTATTAAACCCTGTGTGTTAAAATATTAAATTAAAAAAAAATCTTCAATGACAATAATTGTGGCTAGGATACATTATAAAATAATGTAATTGTTATGTTACTCAACTATAACTAGTTGAACTTCAATCAGTTATGCTTCAGTTGATTTCGCCCCCCTCACCTCCCTGACTCAGGTTCCATTTCAAGTTAATTATGAAGAAGGCCTTGTGTGTCATGACACTCCTATTTACAGATTCAACCTTCTGCCATTTAAAATTACAATTCCAAAAATGGCAGGAAATCAAAATGAAGTAATATTTTTTCTTTTGCTACAACTAATCTGTACATAAGCCAAACCTTCAAAGAAATAAGATAATGAAATTCAATATTCTTCCAGACCTTTTATATTAACCACAATGTATGTGAACATTAATCAGTTCTCTCTCTTGGTAACTAGAAATAAATAATTCATTATCCCTAATCTAATGGTTCCTAATCTTTTACTTATTTTTTATCAATATGTTTAATATTTACAGATAATACTGAGATTAAATAAGACCAGCCCATTAAATGTGTGTCGTTTACAAGAGTTGTAAATGAAGCTCTAATATTTTTCAGCTGTAGATTTCCACTACAGATTCTTTATGGGACTCTAGTCAGACCCAGAGAAAAACAATAGTGTAATCGGGGGATTACAAGAAAACACTAGCAAAATAAGGAATAAGGAATTAAATCTACATTGTTGGTGTTTTGGGGTAAATGTAATGATCGTTTCCTCTCTGTCTTCCTTGAACGTGAAATAAAGCAGCTTACACTATGAAACAACCAAAAATATACGAATTGTCTCTAATGCATGCAAAGCATTTTTGTTTCATTGATTCCATGTGATTGTCTTCCTCTTCTTCATTCTTTAGTTCTTTCAATAATGCAGTTCAGCGGTTCTCGAATTGTGCCCAATGATACTTAATGTTTAAAGTAAAAATCGTCAATTTAGTGAATAGATGTTCTAAAAAAAATTACAAAATTAAAATTATATCAATCCAATTTAAGATTATATCTAGGCATAACATAGTTTGGTTTATACATATTTCACGAAATATACACAAAATTGTTAAATATCTTATTATATTACTGCATAGCTCTGCTCAGAATTTAGTTTTGTTAAGCAATGGATGCTTGCTAGTCGGAATGTTCGAGCTTCGAATATAGAAGATCAAATGTTTCATGATAAGTTCAAGGTCTTACTGTCAAGTAAATCCATGGATTTTTAAAATCGATGCGGGGATCCAATATCCCGTCTTTTGGTTTATAATACATAATATTGTTCATCAAATTCAAAACCGGAGGGGAGGGGAGAGGGGTGGCTTCTAGTCCGAATTTTCATTATTTTTTAATGAAATTATGTTGGAATGTAAAGTGAAACTCAGAAATTCAGAAGAATCGAGAGAAGCTAAGAGTCTAAGTGCAACCCACAATGATTTGTGAGATAAAAAATTAAATATATATATATTTGTATCGTTTCTTTATAAATTTGATATGTGTTTCTAACTTAATAAATAATTAGTTTGAACAATTCTTGTCTATTTTTTTGAAACAACAAATCTTACCTGCCTTACTAATCAAAGTCGTAAAATTTACGAACATTTGTGTTTAAGGTATGTTGAAGAACGTATGTAGTCTCGGGTTAATAGGGTAAGATTATCAGCCCCAAGCATAACTCTAATAACCAGAAGGAACAAGAACAATTTCAGATACAGGGGTAATTCACCTTTCTGAGTCATACAGGATAAGTATAGGCGTGCTTTTCATATGATAGGGAGGTGGGAGGTGGGAAGTGGGAGGAGGAAGGATACCAAAACAAAAATAATGGCTGGAGTTTATATTATGATATCATGTGTAAAAATTATGTTAATTGATAAAGGTATAAAATTAGCATGATTATTGTGAAACGAATAATATTATACTGAATATATTTTTTTTTTATGCGTATGGATATAATTGAAAATATTTGAACACAAACGATTAAATATATTACATATTAATATACATTAAACATGGGGAGGGATAGAGAGTCTACATAAGACAGGTACATTTCAAGAACTTTTTCAGGTAAAAACGAATAATGTTAAACCGAACAATATTTTTGATTCCTTATTTTCTATCACCTCAAAATAAAAACACTACGTTTTCACAGTCTGACACTGTCTATACAAACATTTTATAAATATAACTATAGAAATAAACTATTTATAAAATATATCCATACAACTAATATAACAAGATAATTATGACATCCACAATTACTCTAGGTAAGCTCTTAACGTGATAAAGATCAGATTGACCACATGTTAAATTATAAGAGAAAAACCAAGACATAAGAAGCTGTCATGAGTCCGAGTGCGATTGGAACCAAATTCTTTCTAGAATCAAACTATCAAAGACTGAAAGGAATAAACAAAGTAGTGAAAAATAATTCACAATTGAGGTGGAGGGTAAACTCGAATTCTTAATCTTCGTCAGGGAGCGTAAGGATTGATCAACAGGGTACGTATTAGAAATAGAGCTACGACAAAAAAAAAAAAAAAGAAAAAAAAACAGTTATGGAAGTAATATGCCAAACCATTGAATAAAACTGTCAGAGTAGAAATATATTTGAATTCTGCGCCGAAATCAGGTAAAAAAGTTATTATATAAAGTGAGAAACATGCAAATGAGAAGAAAATATCATTAGCTGGCGGCAACCAAAGACCTGATACTAAGTACTTGTGAAGAACATTTCCAACAGATTCAGTGGGCTATTCTATTTTCGCTTTTTTTTTTTAACCGTCAACAGGTTTACTGTCAGAGTGTAGACAATGGCCACGACTCTGTCTCACTGTCGTGATAATACTAATATGATCAAGACTGGTAAAAAAAAACAACAACTAGGGTTTGTTCTTTAGACCACACGATAGAAGTGAAAACAGCAACAAGGCGAGTATTTATATTTCATATTAATAATATGAAATTTAAATTATAAATAATAGCTCATTATAAAGAGAGTAAAATGGTGAACATTTTCCACGCTTACAGTATGCAGGTCCGATTTTTAGCTTTTGAGACATTTTAATCCATGTCTTCTTCCATAAAATCCTTTTATTTGGGTATGCGGTTCTATTGTATCCCAGTAGTTTTAAATTATTTTTTTACATCTTTCCAGCTGATACTGGTAAATAAATTTTCTACATCAAAGAGACCAAACAATATTTACCTATTGTCTATTTTATTTATTCTTTGATGCTGAAGGAATTGGATAAAATCAATTCCATTGAGGTTTTACATCATTGTTGCTATTTGATTTTAGGTTATTGAGTGTGGAATTGAGGTATTTATCCAAATTTTTCAATTTCCCCATTGATATTACTGATAACAAGACTAAGAGGGACGCCACTTTTATGTAATTTTATTAATCCATGTGTGTTGTAGTTTGAGTTAATTAGTTTAATTTCGTTTAATAAGAAATTTTTAAAGTTAATAAACAAATTCTATTGCATGAAATATAGACATCAAAGCAAGGCCAATCTAAAAATGCCTTTAATGATTTATAATTTACTTATTTAAATTACTGATATTTCCTAGCTTATTTCGTATCCAAAGACTATATAATATTTATGAGGAAATCGGAAGGTTATGTAATGTTATATTATTAAACATTTTCCATTACGCCTAAGAATTTCTGCTATTATTATCATTTACATTATTTCTCTTCTTATATTTATATATTGTTAATAATGCCAAAATAAAATTTCAATGTTGTAATAATGTTAGCATTTGTACTATATATTAGCATAAACACGTTATCATATGGTTTTAGACACTATCTTATTCCCTTTCGTACTCTCAAACACGGTGTTAGGTTAAGATACAATTTTGAATAATAGATCGTTACAAAGAAGACAAAATGCTGAAAATTGATTCCTCTTGCAGTATTCAGGTCCGATTTTTATCAATTGAAATATTTTAATCCATATATACAACTACAATCGTTATCATTTGGTTTTCGGCAGTATTTTTTTCCTTTTCGCCTCTCTAACACGATAAAAGTTTTAATTATAGCTTATTACAGTTGCTGAACAATTTCCGCGCATACAGTATACAGGCCCGTTTTTAGTTTCTGAGATATATTAACCATACGTAAAAACATTTCAATTATTAGAATATAGACAACTTTACCCGTGCGTTAAAATCTGACGGATCAATCTAATTCACTCTCCACAAAAAAGTGCAAAACTTGCCTAAAGATATTTTCACGTCGAAAAATCATATTTTTTGATAAAAATTAAGGCAAAATAGTTACTAATACTAGACAATTTTAGTTACTATATGTGAAGAATTGGTAGGTTAAATGCATTTCACTCCTCCAATTTTTCATTCCAGCTTAGTTTAGTTTCTCCATTCCGAAAAAATACAGTAATAACCCTATAATAATAAGTCAATAGATAACTGCGTGACCGTTACGAGACTCTTGCGCAAGACCAAGACTCTTCTTGTTCTCGCATTTAAGCAACTTTAATCAGGAAGAGTTGTCAACGGATTAAAACGTGGAATTGATACATCTTCTTTGATCCAAAAACGAAGAAGTTAAGAAGTAACATGGAATAAGGATCTTCTATATTAATCTTCACTTTGATCTTGTTGATAAGATATGTTAAAATCATACATTCTTACGGGTATATTTGTTCCTAAACCACGTAAGCTAAATATAATTGTTTGTTTCGTAGTTGTACATTCAAGAAAGAAAGCAGAAAGTAGATGAAATATATGATACATTTCGAGGCTCACAGCATGCAGGACAAAATTATTCGCAAGCAATATTATGGGTATTGTTAATAAAAAAAGTGCTGACTGTTATAAATAGGCTTTTGATACACTATACATTCATAAAAATAAATACCTTGTATATTTTAGTTAAATATTTTTGTTTTCTACATTAATTTTCATGATGAGGAAGATATCACAATTAACCTTTCATCAATGAAACACAGCTTGGAAAATGTGTCAAGCTGAAGAAAGTGCAAATCTGTTTTCAGTCTCTTAAATTTCACGGATTTTTTATTTTCAAATTTTGTGGGAAGTCAACTGTAAATGAGAAATAATAAAACATATCCTGGTCAAATTTCCAGGCAACAAAGTAGGCCATTAATTAGTGAGAGAAAGATAATTGTATAATGAAGGATAATGATGATGCAAGTGAAATTATTAGGTGATTATAGGGTTATATTACGAGGGGGTTGATAAATCTTGTACTAGTACCAGAAGGCAGGATTTTATAAATTTTTCATAAAGGGTACAACCTGTAATTTGGAATGGGCGTTACCGATTCAATAATTAGTGACCGGTTGTCAATAATTACGAGTGGCCCTAGACCATCGCGACCATTACAACCAGCATGGACCCTCCAACATTCGCCGATCACTATAGGTATAAGCTTTACTTCTATCTGATGTAGTGATTAGATGGGTTAGTCTTTAGATATTTCAGGATTTCATAAGGTATTATAAATTTTAATATCTGTATTAAGGGACAGATTATATAGTTTCTTCTTTATTTTTTTTTCTCACATTTTATGAATTTTTTTATACACATAAAACTTTCAAAATGTATTAGTATAGAATGGATTTCAAGCTGGGCTGTATTATTTTAGTTTTATATTACTGGGTAAAAAGTCTAAGGAATAACATTGAAATTAAATTAAATTTTGAAGTTGCCTTTTCAGAACAGCACACCTGAAGAGACTAATAATGAGTATAGTTTCATAACGTTTTTTAAAATTTAGGATTCTCAGAAACTCTCACGTTTGTTGGCTGGTAAACCGAGTTGAAGTGGCTCTATCCTACATTTTGACCGCTATTACTCCTTACTTATTTATTTTTCCAAGTTCTCTGAACAAAAAAAAACTCTCTAAATTTTAGCACTGCTAATGATACCTATTCTATTATGATATCTATTCACTATCTAAATATAAGATCTCAACCGATTGGTGTATACATGCTTTTGCTACTCATATACTATCTCCATTCGTCAATCCTCGCCCACAAATTTATTTTAACAACTTCTATTCCGCATACTACTTCTTATTCAAAGTACCGCAACTGTATGGGAATTATTTGTTTCTGTATTTATATAATTGCTAATAAAAGTTAATTAGGAAGTACTGTTTTGGAGTTCGTCTTGCCAGACTAATATTCAAAATTTCTGAATATTGTCAGTATTTTTAGGGAACTTTTGTACCAGAATAAAATTATGTTTTCAGCCCGTTTCTTGGTTCTACAGAATGTCTTTTTATCTTTGACATTTAAATTTCAACAGTAAAGAATTTTCTCAAGCGACAGGTATTTTTTAAAAAATGTATATTTTGCTTCCGCGGATCCAGTAGAAGAGACGCTGTATAGCAAGACTTATGAATAGAAAAAAAGGAAGAAATTCCAAAAAGAAGTCGCGTGGTATAATTAGCAAAATAGAGGGGTTCTACGTGAGATATATGCGAATTGATGTGTTGGAATCTCATAACACTGTTCTGCATAAAAATTCTCACTTTACAGAATATTGTTTTTACGTTTAACTCTATAAAATCTCTATCAGAAAACAATTTATGACGAATTTGTATTAAAAATTAGGTGTTTTTCGATATTGTGAGCATTTTTTATCATTGAAAATTGCAACGAGAAATGAAAAAAAAGTATTTAATTTTGAAGCTATTACAATTGTTTACAACATGAAAAAACTCCGAGAGGTCACGTGTTAGACTTCAAGATTTTGTTTGGCTACATAAGTGCGCTCTATTTAAGGACATGAGATTCAAAGAAAAATGAAATTAAACCAATTAATTAATTAAAGTCCAAATTAATTAAGTTACGGTTTGTTGCAAGATAAGCTGTGATTTGTCTCTTCTTCTTTGTCTTCCTCTTATGCCATTGGTTAGCGACCACTCCTCCCGGTCCCTGCTTAGCCGCTTCATCTCATTAAGGGTTTTGCCTTTTTTACATCCAATTCTTTGAATGTACTCCTGGAATGTGATTCTGGGGCGTCCGCGTGGTCTCCTTCCTGTGGGTCGAGCCTCTAAGTGATTTGTCTCCATTTTTTAAAAAGCATTACTATGTAATGTAAAATGGTGTCTCCTGTACCAAAAAAAGAAAAAAAAAGGACAAAAAAAATGTGATGATTATTCTTTTACTTCATAATCCTTTTTTCTATCATATGAGATGTATTGGAAATTAATTACTAAAATACACTTCTTAATTCATAATTTCCCATTACAAATATTTTTTTTTTTTATAAAAATGGAAGAAAAATTCAGCTAATTATGTAGAAATCGTCATGTTCCTCTTTTCCAAGTTCTTTGAACAACCTCCCTATATCCCAGAAAAACTTATTCTACGATCCACTATCTAAATACTAGATTTCAACCTATTGATCTGTATGTAAACCCTCCTACAAAACCAGTTCCTTCAGCCAATATTTCGTCAATCGTGATACCTCCTATTCTTACTCCTAGCCTATCTCCTAACAATTTCTATTCTGCCTCCTACTTCATATTCAATGTACCGTAATTATTTGAGAATTATTATTTTTCTGTTATTATGTAATTGTTTCCGACACTTAATTATAACAAGTACCGTCTTGTAGTTCTTCTTGCAAGACTAATAAGCATCATTTCTGAATACTGCCATTATTTTTAGGGAACTTTAGTATTAGAATAAATCTAAGCTTATTCTGTAGCAAACCTCATTGTAATCGATATGGACTTGTCGCTTATTAAACAAGGAAGTTTTTTAGAAATGGGTAAGCAGTAAAGCGGTAAGAGGATAATGAAAAAAAAAATAATACATATTTTTTTGAAAAACAAAACTGCTTAGTTCAGCAACATTTAAAAAAAAAATTGTCTTGTTTATGATGTTACAATTAGTAATCACATAAACTAAATAGTCTTTTAGTTATCGCTTCCAAAAACGATAACTAAGAACAACGAGACTTATTCTGAATGGAGTTCTGGAAGCAGAAAAACTGCAAAACTAAAATTACAGGAATCTGTAAGGAGGGTCAAAAAGACTACTAGAAAATACGAATGGCCTGAAGGTTATACCTGAGGACCAAGAAAAAAAGGCAAAGATCACTACATTACCCAAACAAACGTATTTCGACGCCTCTTACAAATAAATAATTAGTCATGGTCGTACAAACAGCGGTTTAACAATAATCAAAGTTAATAAAAACGATGAATTACACTATAAGCTTTCCTCCAACGGCTGACAAATCTGGAGGAGGATATGATTCAGTTATTATGCAGATTCATAGAAGAATGCAGCATAGACTTTTACAAAGTTTAAATTAGTACTTTCAATATCTATTATTTGTATTATGGAAGTGTTTGTTCAACAAAAAAATAAATAAAATAATAGTGAGGCTTATCCTCACATATATTATTACAGTAAGGCTCGAAATCGGTTTTGTACCAAATATAAGCTCCTGTCATGCTCAAATACCATGAATGGGGTACCGTTGGATTCAGAATTTCATGGGAGGGTTAGCGAATCGTATTCTCCACTTTTTGTTTTTCTTTCTAAAATAAATAAAGTCGATACAAATATTTTACTAGGCTTCAATACTGGAACGTTGGTAGGTCTGTAGATCGATACGGGACAAATTGGACCTTAAAGATTTTGATGCGTACAGCAAGACCCGGATAGTTCCTCCGGAACTATCGGATCCTTGTTTTTTAGCCTCAAAACGTACTATTTTCGAGATAACGCAAGGCATAGGGTTCGAATCCACACAGCCTTACATTAATTGTGGTACTGTCATTGAATATATCTCTCATTTCATCGACTTGAGGTCTCTATGATCGAGAAAGGAGGAGTTTATATTATTTATCAATGGTATTTTTGATCGGCATGCCATATAATCGTTAATTTTTCACCTAATCTCCTGATTGCGCATCTAATTTCGAAGGTTTCCTTCGCCTTCAGGTGGACAAAACAGTCCAATCACCCCGAAAGTTCAGGCAAACAAGTTATAAAAGAAAACAAACTTTATTTGCGAATAACTAAAAAATTACACACTTTTCCCTTGGTCATGCCCATGATCATATAAAAGATTACTAAATTCCCTACAAAAAAAATATCATCGAAATCGGACTATTTTTAACAAAGATATAGCTTACTGAAATTTCTGAACATGTTGGTTCCAAACAAAAATGAAGATTTAAATTAATTTTTGCTTTCTTTGTCAATTATATGTATCGATAAAGTAACATTTGATTTCTTTATCTTTTGATGCCTTGCATTATTTCATTTTCTTATTAATTTGACATTTGATAACAATATGCTGTGCGATTTTTTCGCACGGGCCTACTAGTATTAAAAACGTTTCTGCATTTCTGTGTGGAACCACACCTGGTCCTCTGGTCTTGGTAAATCCAGTATACTCACATCTAATATAAACTTATGTAGACCACTGTATATTGGAATGAGGACCTTTGGCCTGGCAACTCCATGGATCCAGAAACCACCTTCGATTTGGAGGAGGCTGCCCTTCCTCATCTGGGACACGACGCTAGTAGTCATTGTGGTCTACATGCTCTTCTGCTATGCCTACTCCATCATGACTATTTCTATACCTTTTCAGGTAATATATAACTTTAATTATATCTTAAATTTAAATTTAGCATTTGTTCCTTTATTGCTCATATTAATTTAATAAATATAAGTATATTTATAATGTAATATAAATCGCAACAAGGTCTAAATCAATTGTTGGGAGAAATGAGTTAGGTATCTTACAGGATAGGAAAGACTGGATAGGGTTGTGACAGTCGTCATGTTAGCGAAACTGCAAGGAATTGCCGATGGGTTTATTACGAAGAAAAGATTATTGTGCCTGTTTTAACTTATTTAACAGTATTGTTATCAAATCAATGAGATCATACCGGGATTAGTTCAATCTTCTTGAGCAGCGGATGTTCGTATATCTGCCAGTTTTTCTCTAGTGACTCCAAACTGAACCTCGCAGGTAAAGTAAATCATTCAGGAAAAATTAATTGAAGTGATTAGAAGAAGAAACATTTTAAATGATACTTCACATGGTCACACTTATTTATTGAAATTTACAACAGTATTAATTGAATACAACCAGTAAACATGCACAAGTTAGAAATAATGACATGAACAGACTTGTCGAGATACTACCCAATAGTACCACTGCCTATATGATTATTTTATTTTATTTTTTTTTATTTGGAAATTAATACATCCTGCCGCATTGGAGGACATTAATATTAGGGCTACAATATAATTCTAAGTAAGAAGAACACGAGGCCATCTTCTTTTCAGACGCTCGTTTTGAGATCGCAAATTTGGAAAAATAAAGCAAAATTGTTGTAAATAAATCTGTCTAAAAACTGGTACGTTTATATATTAATCATTTATTCTTGTAAGAAAAAAAAAATCGATTGATTTTTAGATATTTAAAAGGAGATTTACAGAAAATGAATAAATTTTTCTCCTTAAAAATACAGCAAAATTATATTCACATTAAATAGAGGTAGATGGATTACAATACAACCTTCGGCAGATATAGATTTCTAAATAAATTTTGATTACTCTACAATAATTTCTATATTTATCACAAGAAAAATCATTTTTTAGGACGAATTATCCATGCGTCTTTCGTTTATTCAAGTAATTATTATTTGATTATTTTTATGCTGTAGTGAATTAATAATTTCGTATTCCGAATCATCGGAATCAGATTCAGAACCTAGTAATAAATCCTTAAAAATCAGTATCCATTTGATAAAGTTAAATTAATAAGACAAAGATTCGCAGTTAGGAAGAACTGCGGCTCAGCTCTCATCCATACCCGCAGGATCATTCCTCATTGTCGATTTAATTCCAATTTCCTGTATTTAATCCTGCTTCCTTTGTGACATCTATTCGCCAAGCTGCGTCTCAAACTGCGACCGGCCTGATTTTAGGCTACTTTGTTAACTTGTCACCATGGGCGGATCTACGAGGGGGGGGGGAGGCTTTCGGGCTGAAGCCCCCCCCAAAATGGAAAAATATAACCATGTTTTATGGGGGAAAAAATTTAAAAATACCTCTTAAAGTATTATTCTTCGTGTAATTACATTTAATAGTACTTGAGGAATAACTTAAACACCATTTCATATAGGTAGTTAGTTTCTTTCTGTTTTTCCAAAGTAATTATGGTTATTTTTATGAAAAAAAAGGTTTCGGGCTGAAGCCCCACCCAAAATTAAATCCTGGATCCGCTAGTGCTTGTCACTGCCGATCCCAAGCAGTCCCAACATTAGGAGTGCTGTCTGTGGTAACAATTTCCTTTGAGATAACCTTTGTCCTTACGATCAAAATTTTAGTATTTACACGTAGTCATGTGTACATTTTACTATATAAAACAAAACTTTCTTCTATCTAATAAGTATATTAAAAGAATTGAGGACGATTAAATGAAAATTGTCATAACCGCACCCAGTCTCCCCTACGTTTTTTCACACACAACCGAACAGTAATCATTCAATCATGTCAACTATACGTTTCCAAGAGGTTTTGATATTTAAGTAAGCTGTAAATTATAAGCAAATGGCCTTCATCAACGAAATTAAACTGTTTTTTTAACCTAAAAGTTGGGGAAAATTGAAGTAGGCGGTGTTAGAACTTATTTAACGATTTCGTTTTTCTGCATGTGTAAAAGTTATTTTATTAATTTTAATTTTGAAATACTTATTACATAACAGACGACATGGACTCAATTGTAGATACCATTTGTGCCAACGGTCTTTGCATGAAGATGCAAATGAAAATATTGATTAAAAATATTCTTTTGAACCTAAAAAAAAAAAGTCTTGATTGTAATATGTTTAAGGTTACTTAACATGCCGATGTTAAGCATAGATTTTTATTTTTGTTAGTAAAATAGATATTGAATTATCATTGGTTTTAGGTTTTATGGGAAAATAATAATAAAATAAATGAAATCAGTATCTGAAAAGACGTTCTAACACCAACTTAATTACAATTTGAAAAAAAAAAATTAGAATATTTCATTGAGTTACAAGTGAAACACTAACAAGAGATCACAGCCAGTGAGCCAACGATTTCAATCAAACTTTTTTATTTTGTTGATTCCACATCAAAAATATTAGACCAGTGTCCTAACGTTTTTTCCGATGGGCTTTAGGAACCGAGAAAGAAATTGTTTTGTAAAATTTCAAAAACATTTTATGTTATTATTTTTTGCCTTTGTTTTGTCCGGATTTCTAGGTCTTTAAATACTAATAGATTTCTATTTTTGTGTAAAAAGGTATGGTTAGTGTCATTTCGTTTACCTTATTACACAGTCTATAAGTAGCCGAATTTTCGAATGCTATAAAAATACAAATTTATGTTGTTTTTTTTAGGTGAATAAAATTAATATCAAATTTGTTTATCCCTAAAAAAAATCATTATTCTACATATCGGACCGGCCAACAAAAATATTATATTTGGCAGATAGCTATAGTAGGAGTACAATACTAAAATAAGTTGGAACAATCGATGTAGCGATTTTTTTACGGAAAAACAAAATTAATATTCTTTGTTGAAAATTTGCAAAGTTGAATCTTTTTATTACAAATTATTGCAATCTTAATTCGTCTTGGCTGTCCATATCCTAAAACAAAAATAGAAAAAAAAAATTCAAACTTTGCATCTTTGCTATTCAGACTATGTTTCCCATTTGGTTACAGTGAGAGTTGTGGCAAAAACTTTTCGAAACACTGGAATCACATAAAGTTTAATTTTGATCAGAATTTTACGAAACTTGGAATTTGTATATTCTCCTAGCAAGTTACGAGCTTTACTTACAAATAAATGGTGTTTTCATACTCTCTTATAGATTTCATAAGTTTCACATCAAAAACTAATTATTTTATATTTCTTGGAATTACAGGATCTGTTCGGCCTTGGAATCAGCACTACCAACTACATATGCGCTCTTTCTGTGACTTTCTACCACGCATTCTATGGTCCACGCCTCAAGAAGATAACTGACGACATGGACTCAATTGCAGATACCATTTGCGCCAACGGTCTCGGAGGAGCGGAGCAGTTCCTCAAACTGTACAAGACTAATTCCAAGCTCATGACGATTTTTTCGTCTCTGTCCATCCACTTCAGCGCGTATCTTCCGTTCACCTATTTCTTTGAAGTCCCCATCACCGACTATTTTACCGGCAACTACCGTTCCAGGTTCCCGGTGAAGATACACAGTCCTTTCTACGACCGGGATCCAGGCATTTATGAGCTGGTATTAGCTATCATGTCGTTTTGTGTATCTTCTTCCATTGGCAAGAAGACTGCAACTGATTGTCTTTTCATGACTTTGTTTATGATCCAGACGAGTTTTTTGAAGTATCTTACCGATTCGATGAAAGGCTTAGAAAAAGAATTTCTAGCTGGAGATAATAAGCTGATCAAAAAGAAGTTGAGGTTATGGATCAAGTTACACCAAGATGTAATAAGGTAAGAGATGATTCCGGTTAAAAAAAAAAAAATTAAAAATACAGTATCCTTCAATTTTGCTTGCAAAGGCATGTATTTAAAGCTTTTCCCCTCATATTAAACCACTATGTGCATAGTATCTTAACTATGGGATGAAGATTGTATTAACTATTGTAGTAAATACAATCCGTTTGATTCATATTTAATTCAATCTTATAGAGGCTGGGTGGGTGCGGGCTAAGGATTGTGCAAAACAGATATCCGCCAATCTGATGAACTGAATGAAACATGATAAAATAATTATAAATTCGCATCCCGATATCGGAGTGCTTTTTAAATCAGACATTAATCCCCACTTTCTCCCCTGGCTCCTGAAAACCCCATATAGTTTAAAAGGCGGGGGAGGAATCGGAGAACATTAAAACAAAAACTTCAGTCATATTACCTAATGATAATTGATTATACCCTATCCTGAAAGTAATTTGCTGTATCTATAAAATATTGACAGGAAACCCATAAATTATGGGCAATTATTTCATAGTTTTTTTTATAATAATAAATGTTTTTCTTAGAAAACAATTATAAAATATAATACTTTATTCTTATATTTAACCAAATAACTGTATTTATTTATCGATAAAAACATCAACAAATTAATAACTTTAGTTCTTTTAATGAGACATCTATATAGAAAATACGGATTATGAACAACAGGTAATATAGTTATTTAAAGTTATGGGGCAAGTTTGAAGTACTAACTATTGTGAATATCATAATAAATTTAGAACAGATAATTGATGAATCTTCTTGAAGGCCTCGCCCTCCATTAACAGCGATCAAACCTTGTTTAGGAAGTACTCTTCTTTGCTAAGAGGTTTTCGCAGTACCCTTGTTGGACTGAAAAATAGTTGATGCAGTCTTGTCAAGCTAGTATATAATAACATCTTTATTCATTTTTGGTATTATTTATTTAAACCAAATAAAATTTTGCACAAATATAATCTTAAATTGATTTTGTTTTTAATTATATAATTGATGTATTTGACTATAAATATTAAATATTGTGATTAAAATTATAGTCCTGCCACTTCTGCCATATCCACTAATTCCCAGATGCTTCTTGATATTCTATAATTGACTCATATTTTCATATATGACATTGTCCCTCTTGCACTTTATGTTTAAAAACTTAAATAGTTGTGTTTTCACTTCAATGTAAGCTGCTGAGAACCACCAAATGAATTGAGAATACACAGGCTGAAACATAGTATTTTTACAACTGAAAAATAACAAATACTTCTTGATTTCCTTGGTTTTTTTTCTTTTTGGTGTCATAAATATTTACTTTATTATATTTCCTTCTGTATCTATTTCACAAAAATTAATGATATCTTCTAAATGAGTTACCATTTACAAGTTATATCTTATATCATAAAATTAAAATATTTAAAAAAAATGCATACAAAGAAGATATATTTAAAGGAGTATGATTGATTTCCTTCTACACTACTTATTAACTTCAATTATAATTCTTGATTTTCATGTTTTAGAAACGTACAGGATCTGGTTCTTGCTTTTTCTCCAGTAATTATCATTTATTATGTGAGTGTGATTGGCAATATTGTATGTGCAGCATTTATTCAAATGAAGGTAAAATTGATTTAATAATATAAATATGATAGATATACAAAATTTTAATTTCTGTAAATGTAACAAAGAAATAATCTATTTCGAATTTCTCAATGAGAGATTCAGGTAATGATTAATTTGTTACTTTTTAACTGTTTGTTACTTTATCTGATGAATCATCAGCATTAGGGATAAATTATCTATCAGCTGCATAGGGTTTGTCCATAGCTACTTTCAATACTTAAAATTCTACTTTTGTTGCAGACCTTAACCAACTTAGAAGCCTTTATTGGTTTTACTGCTTTTTAGCAATATTATATTTTTAAATAGTTATATATAAAGTGAAATGTACCATTTAAATGTTTTGTTTGGTAGTCATTTCAATTTTTAAATTTAATTCATCACCAGATCTTTTTTATACTTACTTAATCCATCCTTGTCTACCACTAAACAGTTTAAGGCTTCCTCTTATAGAGCTTGTTCCACAAATCTACTCATTGTTCCAATTGTTTTCTGGTTACCAAAATAAATGAAATAACAAAAATATGTACATATAAAAGAAACACTATGAAGAAATGATATAAACAAAATATGAAAAATTTTATTTTAACTTGATTTATTTTGGTAGGGAAAATAGTTTTATGGTATTTAAAATAGCAAAGAAGGGATCATCCGACATGGGCACAAACTTCTCTTAAAAATTTGTTCCATGTTACGATAGTTCCGTTGGATAGTTTGAGCTGCTCTTTCCTCCACTGTATTGTTGTTAAATTATGGGATCACCCATAAATGAATTTTAAAGCCCTTAAAAAAGAAATCGTTGACCCCTCTAACCACGTTCATTTCCTTATAGAAACGGTTTTGTTACTACTACAAAAGCATCTCCATTCAACTCCTTCCCGTCGAACTTCATTTGTTGTCCTTCATCACAATATTTGACCTTTGCAAATATTCCGGTGTCTTGAAAATATTTTATAGCCTCTTCTTCTGAAGACGAGAATTCCTACAATGTGACAACATCCATAATTATATAACTCTAACTCACAGCTAACACAAGGAACAAAAAGTAAACAAGGGAATAACTTAGGTTAGATGAGATAAGGGAGGTTATATGAAATGAGATTAGATAAGAAGGGAGGTTTTGACGCTACCTGCTATTAAATAAGTACCGTTTTCTGTTTGTGCAATCTACACTTCTTTGGTCAAAGGCTTCCCTTATTCTGCTCTCCCAGGTCTTCCTAGGCCATCTCCTTGGTCTTCTACCTTCCAGCTGTATCTCATAAGTGAACCTTGCTATTCTGTATTCTGTAATTCGAGATAAGTCCCAGTCACCTTAATTGGTGCTCTTCTTTTTTTTATCTTGAATCTTTAAGACCGAGGTTGGATCGGATAGTGATATTTCTCACTCGGTCTCTCCTTGTTTTACCTTTGACTCTTCAGAGGTTACGCATCTCCATTGCTTGGAGTTGGCTCTTATGTTTACCCATTAAGGTCCAAGACTTTCTCAAATATGTCAAGATTGGTAGAAAAGAGGTTTTGAAGTGTTGTCTTTATGGTTTTGGGAACCTCTTTCTTTCTTAAAAACCCTTTCCTAATCACATTAAAGCATCTTCCAGCTGCCTTAATCCTCTCTCTTACTTCTCCATCCACTCAGCCATTCTCGTTCAAGTGGGCTCCTAGGTATTTGAAATCGCTTACCTGTTCTATCCGTGTTCCATCCAGTCTAATGACATGTTTAAATTTAATTTTTCACCAATTTTTTTTTTTCTATAACCAATATTATGGAAAATATGGGAGATTTCAACCTCACTGTAATAATGAAACAGAAATTTATACATGTTGACTGACTGCTGAGCTCTCAAAATTTTGTAATAATGAAGCAGTTTAAAATAGTTATCTATCAAAACTGAACTGTCCCGGCTTTAGACATTTAGTCTCCAATGAGCAATGATATTATCTCTCCCAAAAAAGTTTAATTTATTGCTTAAGCTGCTTTATATTAAGAAATATTTCAATTTTACTTCATTTAATATATCTCTAATTCAGATATTTTTGTTATTATGCTAAAATTAACTATTCTCATACGCTTTGTGATTTATTTATTTTTTTCCTAACGAGTGGCAGGCGCCCCCTTCAGGTTGGTGCTATATGGCAATAGCTCAGCCCTAAGGCAACTGAAGATCTATTTCTTTATTTGACAAAATAATTTACCCTTTAAGTTTCTTTGTTTTTATTATATTTTAATATTAGTCACTTCATATTATTTTGTAACCATAATACTTGACAGACAATAACAGACGCTTTTAGAAAAATTGATGAATATAATTTTCATATCTATGTATAAATAAATTCCATAATAGCATTTATTTATTTTATTTTATTTTTATTTTAGAAAGATAATGACAGTATGTTTCAATCAATATGTATGTCCATTTATGTCATGGTTGCTCTGACATATTTGTTTCTGCTATCTGACAGTGCTGGTAGAGTAACAGTTGAGGTAGGTAAATTAAAATATTTGTTGTTTTAATTGTTTTAATATTAAAATAAGTAATGAAAAACTATATAGAAACATGGTTACAATGAAGAAATTTCATTCAATATTGATTACTGATTTCTATTTGCGCTATGCAGTAAGAAGTATCTTAAAGAAAAAATTCTAGTTACAATCATTATTTGATAAACTCATATATATATTTTTTGTCACTGTCTTGATTTAGGCTCAAAAGTTGGCATCCATTGTCTACAGCTCGCCTTGGTATGAAACTCATAAGACGAATATCGATGCACTTAGATTGGTTGTTACTATCTCTAACAAACCTATCGACGTGACTGCATTTAGGGCACCTGTGTTTCTCCTTAACAGGGAGACTTTTCTTACAGTAAGTTTGTTATTATTTTCAAAGAATTTTTCGTATTTTAAAGAATTTCTAATCCTGCATGAAATACATGATATTTTTTGAGTTTCAAATTTATAAGTGATATTTTTAATTTCAGTTTGTGGCCAGTGCTCTATCAGCATTCCTTACATTCAGTCAGATGAAAGACCGTTACGATCAATGAATATTATTACAAAAACTTAATTTTTATTTCATTTTGAACTGCTAAATTAAAATCCTACTCTCTAATATGCAACCTAGTGCAATCTCAGTAATTTCAACTTCAGTAGTTCAAACACTCCTATAATCTAAATACAGACACAAAAAAAAAGAAGATAAAAATGGTGAATGGAAATTGTTTTTCAGATATGAAAAAAAAAAGGAACAAATTTCTGATAAAAGATACCAAAATGTAAATTTTTGTCAATTTTCATAATCCTATGCACTTGCTTTTATAGAAATGGAATGCCAGTTTGACATGAAGGTTTATCTCATTTTAATCACTGTAAAAGATGGAAATAAGTGAGCAATATATGTAGACATAAAAGGTTCAATGTGACCAAGTGAGTATATAGTGAATATTATTGGCTTTTATAGTATATCTTTACATTGATACCATTCAAGCAGGGAAAATATGAAAACAAATTAAACATTAATTGTTCCTCAGCCAATGCAACAATTCAAAAACAAATTCCAAAAACATACTGTCTAGAAAAAAATGGGTTGAATAAAAATGTATTACTCAATTAATAAATTTGAATGTATTTATTGAGTTTTAATCTTTTATTATAAATATTTGCATGAATTCCTGAATAATCTGAGTGATGTGAAAAGCCCTTTTCAGTTAATTTCGATTACTGAGATTGCACCATACTTTTTATTTGTGCCAAATTGATCAGTAATAAATATTTTATGTAACAGTGTCAAATTGAATAAATAAATATGATGATTTTGTCAAATAATCCTTCACTTTATTCTACCGACATCCTGATATATTAAGACAAAAAATTGTGCTTATAAAAATTAACTTTGTCTAGCATGATTTTTCTTTCTCTCCTCACTATGAAGCTTCTAGGACTTTTATTTGTGTATAACTAAGTAAGAGAAAAAAAAATCGAATAAACACCACAAAATGAATTGCATTTTTCGTAATAATGATAATGTTTTTTATAAAACACTATGTTTAAGTTTACATTTTTTAAAATTATATCAATATTATAAAACAGGGAGTGGGATAGCTCCAGTGGTAGGGTACTGAGCTTCCAATGCTAAGGTCCGAGGTTCGAACCCTGGCTCATGACAGAAAATTTATTTATATGTTTCATTGGCCGTGGGGCGACCCTGGGCCAGGAGACCCTCCTGGGCACACCCAGCCTCTATAAAGTGGGTACCCTTAATTCAAAAATTAATTAAGGGAGAAAACCTGGCGGTTGAGCGAGATCTCGGTCAAATCACCTCCTTGCACAACCGTTGACCTAGAAACAGTGATTTCCCTAAATAGTACTGAACCCCAGACCCTTCATGGGTTGTAGTGGTACAGGTTTTTTTTTTTTGTTTTTCAATACTATGAAATAATACATTGAAAAAATTAGACCGTGTTTTGTTAACAGAGAATGAATTATTTTGAAAATTAAATTAAAAGGCAGATTTATTCTAATATACTTTGACAAAACTTTGCCCTTTACAATGTTTATGGCAATCAAAATTTATAAAAACATTCGACAAAATAAACACAATTTTAATATTTAGGAATGATGGTAATCATGTTTCCCTTTTTCCTTTTTGGATTATTAAGCAAATTATGACAATAATCATAAAAATAGAAATCCAATTGAAATAATATTGATTAAACAAAGCAAACAAATTAAAAGTTAAAACAGTAAAAACAAAAAAATAAACATCTTTTAGATTTCAAACTGTTTATAGGCCCCATACTAAATTATGTATAAAAAATAGAAATTATTTTAAGGGAAAAAAATAAGTATCTATGCTAGGGAACTATAGTATTCTTTAAACCAATGAATATTGGATAATCTAAAAAAAAAATAATAAAAATTTATTATTTTATATATCTCCATTTCTTTCAGAATAAAAAACTATTAACACTAATCATTTTTAGATCTGTTGGCAATGGAAATGAAAATTTAAAATAGTTTACAAACAACAAACATAAAATTAAATTAAGAAGTCCCAAATACCCCTTCAAATGTTCTAAGACTATTAAGGGATTTTGGGAATAATAATTAAAGTAAATAATCTATAAAATTAAATACAATATACCAACCCTTCTTAAAATAAGTACTGAAGTAAGAATTTTAAATTATATATTTAAAATATAAAAGGAGTATCATCATATAAATATTAAGTAATGCCTTAAATATATAAAAAGAGATAACATAATGAATACTGTAATAAGGCATGCAATAGTACTCACATAGCTCTTATTATTTCTTGTACGTAGTTCATTGAAGTTCTTCAACTCTGCATTTTTTTTTTTTAATATTGAATAAGAAAAATTGTGTATGTAATGAGTGAAATTGGCAGCTCCACTTTAAAGACCCCTAACATCTACCTGACCTCTCACAATGAAATAATAAGTGTATTTTGGATTATTATTTTGAAACAAATAAATTAAAACTTTAAAATCAACAAGTTAATAGTAATATACCCAATAATAAAAATAAAGCATTATATTCAAGACATTAATTTGATTATTATATAAATTCTTACTAAACCTTTAAAAAAAAAAAAAGTTAAATGAATCAATTTTCCCATTAAATTTTAATGATTTTTTTTTTTGAAAATATGATCCTGTTTGGGCTGTTAAAATATTAAAAATAAGTTTTAGAAAAATGGTAAACAATCTTTGATTTGTGAGAGGAAGCAGCCTTTGTAGGTATATAAATATAAATTACATGCACATGCTACATGCAAAATTCTGCCCACGATGGAAATATTGATAACAATATTAAATTAACAATGAAACAGTACTCACAATTTGTTTTGTGAGCATCAGTGGCTCAGAGAAAATTCTCAACATCAGGGTGTAAGTATACCTAACTCGTCTCATTTTTGTTTAATATTTAAAGATAGTAACAAACATAAAGGAGTGAAAAGATTAAAAAGGTGTATCAATTAAAATCAGGATACCATTGAAAGATTCTAAACATGAAGCCTTGAGTCTCGAAAATAACAGCAACAACTAACTCGTCAATGATTCATCGATCCTGACATTATAACAGAAAAAATGAAATCAGGTGCATACAAAATGCAAAACAGACTACACTTAAACAGTAAAAAAACAGAACATCACTCCATAAAACATCTAAAAATGAACCTATCTACTTAATTTGAGTTTATGTTAAGATATTTTGGAGTGATGTAATGCAGTTAATATGTCTCTTTTTGGACTATTGATGTAAGATGTACTGCATTTTAACAGCATATACCTAACTTATTCATTCCATATGATGTCTGGACTAGTTAAGCATTGACTGGTAAGTTATTCACCTGGCTTTGTATTCGGGATCTTCCGGTTGTATCTGAATAATAACATACCACAAAAGTATATCTACTTGGAATAAAATAATTAACTTCAATATTTACTATTTACATGTAAAAACAAATACGTAAATTTTTTTATATCTGTTATATGGAGATAAGAATTTTGATGTCTAAAATATAATACTAATGCAATGGTATTCCAGTATTAATGCATTAGAAATAAAAATTACTTTATATGTATTATATAAGACAATGTTTATTTAATAGGAAGAGTTTGCCACTTCAGAGTGAAGATCCTGAAATCTGCCTTTACCTCCCACTTTAAAAAAATTATATAAATTGACTTTTTGATACAATCTGAATAAAATGTATTTAAAAATTGATATTGCTCTAAATATTAACACTTTAAAAGTTAATTTAAAAAAATAAAATATAGGCAGCCAAGCAGACATATAAAAATAAATAACATGCACCAACTACATCAATCAGACAATACCAATTATAAAAATAAGCATGCAGTTTCCAAAGTGGGCAGGTAATATGGACCAGCTGAAATATTATTGTGTTGATGCATTTTAGTTATCTTAACAAAGTAAAATCAACTTTATTAATCTATATTAAATAGATAGACCTTTGTAAATACCTTAGGTAATCCTATTATATGGAAATTAACCAATACGCATTAACAATAAAAAATTAATTATACGAATATATGGAAGAACAAACTCTATTTCTAAGTAATAGATAAACTTGGTAATGTAAAATTTGTGAATTTTTATATTTATGTATAAAAATATATTATTTTTAAAAAAAAATTATTTGCTTATTTAATAATGTTTGAGTGAAAGTCCATTTTACATTCAAAGAACTACCTGGAAATTTCTCTTCTTGAAGCTGTTCCTGAAGATTCAAAAGCAGTGTGAACATCCAACAGGCCTCTTCATCTTTTCATTAGCCTTATGATGCGTCCATGTATAATACTAAAGCAATTACAATAAGTTATGTACACTTTTACTCTCATTGATATATAATGTAAAATGCATTAATATCATCAGGAATTACTTCTAAACCATACTGAGCATCTATCTTTGATTATCTATGTTTAGTATGTTGTAATGAATTTAGCCTTCAGGAATTTATTTAAAGTACAGTCCTAACCACGTATGGTTAGGAAAACATATCAGAGAGCACTTTGCTAAATTTAGTAAGAATTGTTCCCAAAAGGCTGTTGAAGATAATGAAAAAACATGGTAGAAGTTATCATTATTGAAATGGATTTACTCATTAAAGATAAAGAAAATTTTCGATAGAAAATACAAGAAGGAAAAAGGAATACAAAGAAATACAAAATGAAAAATAATCCTGAAGAGGAAGATAGAAAATTCTCAGAGCATTGGAGGATGAGGGCAGGTAAAGAAAGACATATAAGTTAAAAATGTAATTTATTAAACAAAGAAAGTAATATTTAAAGGAAGAGAATGAATTCATAAAACCCTTGCGTAATTCAATTTGAACAGTTTTTCTTCCTTTTGTCTTACAACTTACACATCTATTAGACAAGTACCTTGATGAATTCCTGAGGATTAAATTCATTAAGTCAGATCAAACTTAGTTAAACATAAAAACATTATCTATAGTGTAATTAGCCAATTTAATTTAAATCTATTTCATATTTAACATCTATTCAAATCATAGGCTCTTCTATGAAACATTTTAGTTTGCAGCTATTAAATATACAACATTTCTTTCAAAATTATATCATTATTATTAAATATGTAGCATAAGGTATTTTATATCTCTAACTAATCTTTTTTAAAAGTGAATACTTACCTATTCTGTTAATTTAAATTAAGAGATGGATTGAAAATCGAAGTGTATAAGACTTTTCATTACCAACATAAGCCAAAAAAAAAAAAAAAAAAAATCGTTCAGCAACGTAATATTAATTATTATTAAAAAGTCTAAATATGCCTTATTCTACTTTTTCATTGTATAAACTTCTATATATTTTTTTAAACAATAACAAAATTAGCATCTTGCTGTATATGTTTAATAAGAACAAAATAAAAATGCTTTTACCTGATAAATTTTTTTTTACAAATATTGTCCACTCAATCTGGCGCTTGAAATGATGTTCAAGAGCATAAAAAGAATTAATTACATCTTTCTTTTTTTCTCATAGTATAATTTCACACTAAAACAGCCATTTTTTAAATAGTACAATAATAGATTATTATGTTAATCAGAGAAATTAGGAGCCTATACGATTTTCTGTAACTCATGTTTGACATATTTTCAATAAATAATTACTAATAACTTTAAAAACTTATTCAGGGCATTATGATATTAATTATTAAAATTGAGTATATCTATAGTTAAATATTAATAGAATTATAATTGTATAACTGACCCAAAAAATTGTACCTAGTGAGAATAATGTAGATGGCAGTGGATTTTTTCTAGTTCCCTCTTCTGAAGAAATGACCTTTAAAATTATAAATGGTGCCGGCCTTTTTCTGAATGAAAATTGTAAGTATAAATTACAAAATATTAAAATAACAAAATCTTTCTTAAATTTCAATAGTATTACTTATATTTTGAAACTATAAATATAACACTTTTAGGCTTTTAGGAACTATTAATTATTCATTCATGTAAAATAATATCTACTCATTCCAGAACACTTTACAGGGTGGGAAAAAAAGCGAAATTCTTCATTTTATACCGATTGAACTATGAATAGCCTTTTTGAATAAATTTTTTCTTCATAATGAGACCTACAAAATAATGAAGGAAACATCATAAGGTAATTATTTAAAGATACAGCCTACTAGCATTCTATATAAGTAATTGTCGCATATAAAGCACTTTTTAACAATTATTTTTTGTAGTTTATAAATATTATAGTTTTGAACTTATTATGCATATTACTTAACAAATGTCAGAGAGGCATTGGTCATGATCAATCAGATATATTCAATTTAACTGTTTTATCTATTGTTTTACTCTTGATCATCAAGGTTACAAAGTATTGCGAAGGAATGAAGTTTCTCTATACTTACTATCAAAATTATCATATTGTGGGCAAGTTCTTAAACTCAGCACCGAGCTCATTGATGGCATCAGATCTATATCTAATCTGGACAATTCGATGCCATCGATGGGCTTAGAACTGTGTTTAGGAACTCACCCTGTGGAATGAAATGGTTCTTTATCTACTAGGAGGAATAATTCATAAATAAAAAGGACTATAGATATAAATGTGTACACATTTTTTGCCTCATTTCTTATTGGTTTTTAATTGTAATGATCTACAATCATGGTCACCCCTGGTTAGAGGTTTTTAGTATTATATTTCTGGTATTAATTAGTCTGAACTACAGAATTTTCAAAAATATTTGTGTTCCTGATTAGTATTTCTTGGAGAGTTCAGTAGTCTATCATTGTAAGGTAGTAAATTATAAAAACAAGATAATTAGATATTTTAAAAGTGTGACAAAGAAAAATTTATGTGATTTTAATGTTTATAAATGTTTTTACAAGAAAACTGAACTTAAATAGTTTAAAAAATAAATTTTATTTAATATTAAGACTTTGGCTTATGCTAACTTCCCACTGAACTGTCCGATGACTTCCATCTATTTAACCATCATTATCTTTGTACAATTGTTAATTTCATTCATTTTTGTGGAGATCACAAATGTTCTTTGGTTTAATGAAGGCAAACTTTTATAAAATGAGTGATAATTTGGAAGATAAAAGTTCTGACATATACTTTTTGTCATGACATATCTCTTTTACAGGTTTAAGATCTAGATAAAGAGAATCTCAAACAATGTTGATCAAATCAGCAGGTCTTTTTTTCGAAAGTGATTCGAAGCTCATAAAATGGATTGTCATTATGCAAAGGTTGGTTCTTTATAGAAATTAGAAATTTAATTATATATGCTATATATTAACCATTTTATTGAGGAAAGAAATGGTCTGGAGTGATGGTAATAAAAAAACTTAAAATAGTTCAGGTCTTCATCAGGGTTAGAATAAACAAGATACAAAGGATATAGAATATTTCATTCTTGCCTTGATGAAGAACTGTATAGATAAGTGGAAACATTGGCTTAAAATAAAATATTTTTTCACTATTTTAAGTTTTATTTGTAGCCACCACTCCAGACCATTTCTTTCCTCAATATTATATTGTGGTCTGCCATTGAGTATTCAACTTAACCATTTTATTTTTAACCGGTTTACTTCACCTTCTTCAGCATTTGTTTTCCTATTTGAAATACAAGCTTTCAATCTTTTTATTGAAATAATCTCTAATTACTTCATCTTTGTTATACCAAATGGATTTTCTAATTTCTGATCATCTTCTTTGGCTACAAAGCCAAGCTTTAAAGTGAAATTGAAATATAAAAAACAAATGAATAAATAAATAGTTGGATTTAATTTATCGACTTAGTTGGACCAATATTAGTGAAGATAGAGCTAATTAGACCCATGGTGTTAATCAAAGTTGTGTGAATGGACATACCACATAGTTTTAAATACATAGAGTGATTAAGGAAAAAATGAATTTTTTAAAATTTCTTAACATTTTATTTTATTGTTTACACTTATTTATTTTATATATATTTACAATCAATTTAGGAATATACAACAAGGATTTACAAATACACATATCTACAAAAAAAAATACTATTTACAATTTTGATCATAATCTCTGCTTTTATGAACTTAAAACTATAATCCACAAATTAGAAAAAAATGGTAACTAATTGTAAACTATTTATGCACTATTTCAAACTATTTACATTTATTTTCCATCATAGAATTGTCTCACAATACAATAGATGCCTATTTAAGATGACTCATCTCTATACAATTTGTGTGTTAAATATAAGTTTTTAAAGAATGACAGTAATTTTTTTTTATAAAATAATTTTTATTTTAAATTTTAACCAAACTATAAATGATACATGTGAACTGTCATTTATAATTTAATCATTCTCAATTAAGACTAGATCTAGAAACATTTCATGCAAAATTATCTAGGTAAAATATGTATTACTCATATAATTGTGTATTTAAATAGCTGATATATAAATACACATTGGATAATACACATGAAATAAATAACAGCTTTGTAGATTGTATTTTTTCCCGAAACTTCTCACTAATCGGCCATAGATCTCAATTTTTAAATATTAAATGTACATTATTTTGTTATACAATACATTAGATACAATCTTATAATACAATATCACCAAATTCACTAATTTGGCCACTGCCCTATTTTTAAAATATATTATTTTGTTCTCTTATTCTCCTTCAGTTAAATTGTTCATTCATAATTTGACTAATTTGATTCTATTTTTTTAAAAGCTATATTGGAATTCAAAATGTTGCAACAATGCAACAATTTTTAAAAATAATTATGGAGTAATAATACTTTTTGGTAATTTAATAATTTCTTTCTCACTCAACTCCTGCATTTTACTATACTTTGATATATATCAGATATTTTTTTACAAAACCCTTAATGGTTTTTACTTGCCTTCTCTTGATAATTGTATCATCATACTAAAATTATCTATTAAAATATATTTTTTTGTGTTTGCTGCAAATTAACTTCTTAATAAACATATACAGAACTGCAAAATATTGACTTTCTTTCATAAATATTGTTGAATGTCAGTAATCGTATGATATGTCGTAATTTTCTATTAATAAAAAAAAAATATATATATACTATATCTAAGATCATGAGTATTCTGCTATTATATCAGCCATTGAGGTTATGCTTCCAGAAACAACGGCAAGGATTGCTACTATTGCTAAGAAAATGTTCTTCCATAAAATGTAGTTCCATTTTCCAAAACCTTTTTCCCAACAGATAACTGTTTCACACAGTGCTGGAAAAAAGAAGCCACACATTGAGAATCCTACAGCTCCAATTAAAGAAATCACAGGGCCCAGGTTTGGTACAGCAAGTGCAAGGATAACTGAAAGAAACAAAAACATATACAGAATTATAAATACATATACAGTGTATAGAAATTATTTTTGGGCTTTGTCCTTATGGTGTACTCTATATAACTTTGTAAAGATAGAGTTTGGCTCATTCTAAGACAAGGTACTGTAACATTTATTTTTTCGTTCTCCCCTTCCTCGTCCTTTAGGCTATATGGAGTTTTCCCGGGCAAGGTGGTAAGGGCGGGGGATTAATGCCAGAGTTATAACCCCCCTCGGAACCGAAACACGAACTCGAACTATTTTTATCATTCATAATTTTGATTATCAGGTTGTTAGGCAACGCGGTGTGCTGTGCACATGCATTAGCCCACTTGGCCACCCCACCAGTTATTAGATAGATACTGTAACCTAACTAATTGATTGATAAAAAAAATGTAGATTTCTACCTTGGCAACATTCTAAACCAATAATGTAATCAAAACAAATCCTTAAATGTTAATTTCTTATATATCATAATAAACTTTGTTCTATATCCCACTCTTCTATATCATATAAAATTCAAACCATAAAATGATTTTATTCAGTCTGTTTAAGACCTTTGAAAAGAATATGTCAAAGAGTGATTTTTATTAAATGTATTTTTTCAAATTAGAACTGTGAATTTGAAGCATCAATGAAGTGTGTGGGTCATTAATGACATTAAAAATTAATGAGTGTATAGTGCAGTGTTGCTTTGAAGATTTTGAATTGGAGTATAAACTTAAAGTGTCCGGGTGCTAATACACTGCCAACAAGTAATGTAAAGAAATTTATGGCATGCATCGGAAACTACAATTTGCACATCATTGATTAATTGCAAAGGATCTATCCTTTTCCTCTATAATACCTCAATACATGTTACACAACTAACACTCAGGGATATGGCTGACAATAACTGTATTATCACATGTTTGCTAATGAGATAGGAATGAGTCAGATTGGTATGGTCTATTCTCAGTCTGGTTAAGACAAATTTGGACGACTTGATGTTGACCATAGCTTCACTGTTATTTAAATATCTTTCAATTTAGTATCATTTCAGATGTATTGCCAGCTATGAAATATTTCTTTTTTGAAGGGAAGACTCATATCTTGTGGCATGAGTATAGTAGGTCTGGAAGGGTAAGTGCTTTCTTGGCCGTTACATCTGTGAGCTCATTACCAATGTAATGTATTCATATTGATTCATTCAGAAATTATTTTGATTAAATATAAATTGTTGATGTAAAAATATGAGTATAGCATATTTTCAAAAAATATCCAAAACCTGCATTATTTTTGCATCAGCCCAGTTATAGAAAAAATAATGAAGTAGATTCTAATAGGAAAAGTAATATAAGGTGCCTGACCTAATAACTTACATGGAAGAAATTCATTTTGCAGTGATAACATACTTTACAGATCTATTATTCAGTTAGAAGAATCAATTTAATCCAAAAGATTTCAGATTTATTTCTTGCTAAAAATAATTAAAATTGTGGTGCTGAATGAATTTGGTTAGAAAATAAACAAAATACGTTTTGCTATAGAGCTCTTTTAATGATAAACTGTTCAAAATTAGAATCGCTTATTTTTAACTTCCATATACAATTTTCTGTTCCATAGAGAACTAACATATAATATCATTGAGGATTATATTCATAGAATAGCTGTGTTATATTAGTATAGTAATTCATTTCTTTATTTTTTCTGTCTTTCTTCCACTTTTAGGCTAGACAGGGTTTTCCAGAGCAGGAGGTTAAAGTCAGAGTCGAAAGCTCCCATGTACAGGAATGCGAAATCTACTTATTTTTTCTTATATAATTTCAGTAATCAGGTTGCCGGGCAATGCGTGGTGCAGTGCACACACGTTAGCCCGCTCGGCCACTCCATTCTCTAGTGCATTATATCTATTGTGGATGTTAAAATTTCATGAAATCTCGACAAGTTTAAAAATAATTTGTTCTCTATAAAATATAAAGTTTAATTACCTGTCCCAATGATCATTGTAGCTCGTACTTGGTAATATCGCTTAGTTTCAATACTTTTGTCAAAACGATGCTCTAATCTCTTCCAGACAACATCCATTGAAGCAGCTAACTGAAGACCGTAACTAAATAAGACAGCAAGAGCAACCAACACTTTTACAGATTGTGCCAACCTTCAAGAATAAATTAATTCAATTAGACATATGAAATTAAATTATATCAAAAATAAATAAAATATACTATAAAATAGATCTAATATGTAAATAGATAAAATAGAAAAAGAGAGATGGAGATAGAAAAACAGAACAAAATATAATTATTATATGGGACTAATAGGCACTTGAGTGCATTGGTAAATCCTAACAATTCGTCAGATATCAGACTAAAACGAAATTAAAATATTGTTTTTCTCTGACTTCCTCTAGGTTGGTATTTTTGTTTTTCAATGAATCATTTTTTGACTTCAAATTTAAATTTTTAGTGACGATTACTTAAACATGTGATTTATGATAAACTTTTAGACTTTGATTACAAATTAATTTAGAAATAGGATTGTGATATCTCCCTAGTTGGATTTTATTTAGTAATGAAGGTTTTGTGTTACCAAGATGAAATACTTGACCTTTTTGGATCATAGTCAATTTAACATTTAACGTAATTACTTTCAGTGTGTTTTTCACAAAGGGTGAATGCTGTAAGATCTTATGAAGATGTGCTGATCTGTTAAGCATCAAAATAAATAATAAAGAAGCCTCACTATCAGTCAGGAAAGTTAGGCAGTCCCTGAGAGAAATGGTATTTAAGAATAGGAGCAAATGTAAGTGGCAGAAAATAGGTGTGCCCCATTGAGAGTCAAACCAATAGGATCAGATAGTGGATTTGAAACAAACGCTGTGGATCAAGACCTAAAAGTACAAATTGAAAAAGAAGGAATTTATAAAAAATGCATTCCATATTTACAAAAAATACATAGAGGTTTTGGTTCTGTGATTTCGGTTTGGAAATAGGGGAACAATTCCTTTTTCAACTGGCACTTGGGAGTGGAAAGGAATAAGCTATAGAGAATGGCAGAATGTATTATTTTCGAATGGCTAGGAATCCTGAATCATCACATATATTAATCATTCTTCTATTCTTTGTTGTTTCCTTCAGGAATGGATTGAAAATGTAAGAGATTTTAATAGACTAATAATTGTAGAGTAATCATCGAAATTAAGCAATCACATTGTTTTGTGTTGATCTTTTTTCTTTCACTATCTCTCTAATGCTGTTAAGCTTGGGATGGTCTTAGCTCTTCTCTTACAGACATTTTTGTCTTGGAACATTTTTTGGAATTGATCCACCAGCAGCTGTTGTGGTTCCTTCCAAGTCCATCGATGTAATCACTATAAGTTAATTCTTGTCTAGTAACTCGGTTTAGTAACGTGGCTCGCATGTTTTTTGGGAATTATCCAACTTTCTGATTCATAAAGAAGAATTGAACGAATAAAAACTTAGTTAGGTATAACTTTCTTCACATTCGCCTATCAGCATTGATTTTTGGAATAATACATTTGCTATTGTTTTTCTGCTCAATACCTCTTCATCCATTCAATATCTTGGTCTATTCATCCATCTCTACTTATCACGCTACACAGATGCTCAAAATTGACCACTATTTCTAGCTTCTAAAGACAGTTAATTGTGGGCTGTTTGTCTGTTATGTAGAGATTATTTTTTAAGTTAAAAAAAAAAACTTACGCATCTCCTGGGAGGTTCAGAGTGATGTTAGCTTCAGTATCCTCTCCATATTTAACATAACCGATAAGACCAAGCCCACAAAATAGTGATACGACAATGGACATGGCTATGGTTAAAACACCTGGGCATCCAAGAAAGTGTTGAGGTTTCTTCATGGAGTTTTCTATTGGTAGCATCTAATAACGAAAACATTTTAAAATTTATATTTTAGTATTACTATTTCAATTGCATAAATCAAAAATTAAATTATGCTTATTTCAACATATCATCTCACCGTTCCAATTCCTTCCATCCCAAAAAGTACAGTTGAGAAGAACAGAGGAATCTGAGTGATTTTAGCAACTGCTGGTCTGCTTGAAAAGGATGGAAGATCTGTGAAGAGGTAGTAAAACGTCAAGCATAGACCAACAAAGAGAAGCACATTTGCAATGGCACTGAATGGTACTAAATATTTCATATTTCTAACAATGCCAACGAGGAAGAAGGGGATCGCAAATGCACAAATGTATATCCTGACATTATAATGGATGTCAAATTGAGTTGCTATGATCTAAAACAGAAAAATAAAATCTTATGAAAAAATAAATACATTTTAGATCCACCTTGACATTTTATTCAGTAATGTAATTTCAGATTTCAACATTCATAGACAATTAATATTCTCCATATTAAGTAAGATTTATTAACTTTAGCTTGTTTGTTGGTAGAGTTTATAGAAATGCTATAAAAGCATTTATAAATTTAATCAATATTATGTGCATGTACAGTTTGAAGAGATGATCTTAACTTTAATGATAAGGCTAAAGTTGGGAGACAATCATGAATAATGACAGTATCGTAAGGAACATTTTGCTATTGCATTTTATTTAACATTAAATATTGCCGATTAGCTTAATAAAAAGCTATCACATCATATTTAGAAATTATAAGAAATGTAAAAAAACCCTAAAGGAATGCTTTATGAAAAATGAAAAATATATGAACTTTTTTCTATTACCTCATATCTTGCCATTTGTGTCATACAAGGAGAGGGGAGGAGTTTTCCTAGAAGTACAATCAAAGCTGTTCTTACCAGAGTGGGCAGATTAAAATTCATTCTATAGTTCCGCCACGAAATAAATTTTAACCAGCACCGGCCGGATTTAAATTAGACTCAAGAATGTTAAAGTAGGCAATGCCACTCCATGGTCTCAAGACAGGACAACTTTAACAATAGTATGTCAAACTGTGATATTTTCTGAATTTTTGGAAGTAATGCTAAGCGAAAACATTTTCCCCTTTTCAATGATTATTATTTCAAATTGCTTTCATTGCGGAACTATTCACCTTTCATTTCAACAAAAGCAATTAGAAGATGACAGAGTTAAATTCAACAAAAGTAATAAACTAATATAAGATCATTTTCCAAGTTATTCTCATGGATATCAAGAAATCAGAAGTCAGTAACACTCATAAACAGAATACCATTATTTATTTATTTATTTTTATCAGGTCATTAGCACTAAAATTTTGTACTTATTATATAATTTTCATTAATTTATTTGATTTAAAGTTATGAATAAAAATAAGAAAATAGTACTTACTGATTGAAATGAGTTAGATACAAGTATAATGTAAACTGTATTCACTCCATAGTAAGTAAAAAACATGGAGCCTTCAACACAATTTCTGAAAAAAAAATTAAATATATTTATCATACATAATAAAGCACCAAATATCACTAGTTTTGAAATATTTAATTTATTGATTCTAAAAATATACATATTGATTATTGCAATGTTCTTAACCTTTATGATTAGAAATAGTTAAAAAAATAAAAGTAAGTAAATCTTCTATTTCTTACTTGACAAATCCAGCATATCTGCTAAACCTTTTGTTCGCACAATATAGAAGAGCTTGTTCTACTGTTTCAGTATATCCAAGGAATGGTTTATTTAGCATTCGACACATGTCTTGAGAGCATTTCACCTTAAAAAATATTTAAACGTTTTATTCAAAATAATTCTGCCATGCTTCAGTAAAAGACAGTCAGTATTTAATGGCATAATTGATGTTGGATTGATATGTATCAACATTAAAAAAAAAAATGAATGACCAAATTTAAACATAGGTACTAATTTTTTGGAGTAGCCAATTATCAGTTTAATTGTTGGAAAATCTGCATTCATCATGCGATTTCACTATCTTGAAGGAATAATGAAACTTTATAAAAATTTGTATATTTTACAAATCATTCATGACATATTGATTTTCATTTCAAATAAAATCACGGAAGAGTATTAAATCTGTTTTATTTAGTAAACAGATGTTCCAAAAGTTTCCTCGTTTCATTTAAATCTCTAAAAAATATTGAGTTTTATTAAGAAGTTTAAACAGTTTTTATAAGCATTTAACATTTTATAAAAATGTTATAATAAATAATGAATAGTGTCATACTAAGAAATTAACCTTAATTATTATTTAAAACTGAGGTATTTTGTTATAAAACATGGCATCTGAGATTTTTTATGAATTAAAGTTTTTGGTAAAAACGAATTCTCTGTGGCTTATTTTAGATTGTTAGTGGAATCGATAGGAAACTTATCTCTTTTAAGATTAATGTTTCTTATAAAACATGTTATGTGGTTGTCAGTTTAATGTGAAGCAGTGTAACAAGCAAACATTTTGGACTTTATGAAAAATCATAGATTTTACAAAAGAATGATTTGTGATTAAGTGACTTATAGTGTAGATTTATTCCATGGATTAAGTAGACGAGTTAGGATTCATTTTGGGAGCAGTTAAACATTTTTCTTAGTAACAGTAATTACAGCAACAATAATGCTTTAAAAAATAAAATTTTAATATTTTTACCTGACAAGTGCTTTACATTTGGTTGTTGCAATACATATGTTATTATAATTAAAAAAAAAAAGATATTGTGATTATTTAAATATTTGGCTATGGATACCAATATGGACCAATGAAAAAAACAAATCAATTATTTTCCAAATTTTGTTTGGGGAGAAGTCAGAGGAGGGATTCAGCCCGTTTAATGTGAAGCAGTGTAACAAGCAAACATTTTGGACTTTATGAAAAATCATAGATTTTACAAAAGAATGATTTGTGATTAAGTGACTTATAGTGTAGATTTATTCCATGGATTAAGTAGACGAGTTAGGATTCATTTTGGGAGCAGTTAAACATTTTTCTTAGTAACAGTAATTACAGCAACAATAATGCTTTAAAAAATAAAATTTTAATATTTTTACCTGACAAGAGCTTTACGTTTGGTTGTTGCAATACATATGTTATTATAATTTAAAAAAAAAAGATATTGTGATTATTTAAATATTTGGCTATGGATACCAATATGGACAATGAAAAAAACAAATCAATTATTTTCCAAATTTTGTTTGGGGAGAAGTCAGAGGAGGGATTCAGCCCGAAAGCCTCTCTCCATTGGCTATAGATAGATTTAAATGTTCTCTTCATTTTGGCGTGAAACAATTGGCAATTTCAGGGTAAATCTACCTTCCTATTCTATCTAGATTACATAGGCTTGAACAATCATAAATTATAAAAAATATTAATAGGAGTTTAGAAAGTTTTTGTTCTTTACTTAGGGAGTGAGGTAGCTCAGTGGGCCAGCACTGACTTCCAGAGCTTAAGTTCCTGGGTTCGAATCCGGCTGATCACTAGTAATTTTTCACCAGCCGTGGGTCAACCCTGATAATGGGAGACCCTTCTGGGGCAAACACTGACTCTATAATGTGAGTACTTTTAATTAAAAATAATTAGATGGTTGAGCGTGATATTGGCTCGTCACCTCCCTGCACAACCGTTGGCCTTGTTGTTACAAGGAAGTACTGTTGAACTTCCTCACATTGTACTGAACCCAAAACCCTTCATGGGTTGTTAGTGGTACCTGCTTCTTTTTTTTTTTACTTTACTTACTGATCAAAAATTTATTTGTACATTCTATTTATAATTATGTGTCCATAATTATAAACACTTAATTATAATGGAAAAACAAAAACAGAAAACTCACCATAACATATGTACAATGCGTGCACAGCATCCCTATAAAAACTGTTCCTACTATTCCAACGATGGTCCCGGCGTTCTTGAAGCCATCAGATATTGCTAGAATACCAGACCCAAGGCTACTTTTCACAACATGAAGTAGAGCATCCAAATCTCTGAAATATTGGGAGACATATATATTACAGTTTCATTTTAAAATAGATTTTTAAGATTTGTTTTCTGTTGATAAAAATTCAAAACTTACGATGTTGGATGGACCTTCTCTATTTCTTGATTTCCTTTTTCACTGTTAAGTTGTTTTTCTTTTGAATCATATATTACACCTGTTAGTTCAATACTGCAACAAAGAAAAATAGAAATTTGAAAAATGACTAATGTTTCAGAAATGGCAAAAAGAAAATATTTTCTGAATGATTTTTGTTTAATAAATGTAACTAACAAATATTTAAAGAAATAATTATTAGAAAAAAATTTAATATAGAAAACAGATTTTTTTCAGTAAGTTTTTTTTTTCGACTATCAGACTGTGGCTTTGATATTAAAAAAAAAGTTTATCAGGAAAAGGAAATGTATCTGTTATTCAATCTTAACTAATTTTTTAATCCTGGTCAACCCTTTATCAATTATTGCAATTTATTTTTGTCAATCGAATCTTTTATCTTTTGAATCATTCATAATTCTGGTACTGATTCACAACTAGGATACATGGCTAGATATTAATAACATATTATCATATAATAATAATTAATGGGAGTCTTTAAAGATTTTTTTACATTCACTGAGCAAACTTGTTAAACTATTAAATTTACACAGGGATTCAGATGAAGGCTTACTTATTTGAGCCTCAAAATAAATAAAAATGAATTTCACACTTCATTATACTACAATGCGATTATATTTTATGAATTAGACAAACAGAAATGTGATTATTTTCATAATAAAAGGTGTGCATTTTTTAAACAATGAAGTTAGCAATAAATTAGAAAAAAAAGTCCGATTGCAGGGCCACTGCCATCTTGATGATTAAGACCTCATTAGAACTGTTCCCTACGCACTCCTTCTCTTTGGACATTACTAGTAGAAAAATCAACTCCCAAAAGTTTAAATTCCTGCTGGTATTCTTAAAGTAGGGCGGTAAGTGAAAGTGTGATGTAGGTCACTTCAAATTTTTTTTCAATTATTTTTGATTTTTCTTTTTGAAATGAAAATAGTTTAAATATAAAATATTTCTGAGTAATACTAACAATAAATGTAAAGCTTTAGCTGGAAACTTTCACTATGATGATAACCAGTAGCGGATTCGGGATTTAATTTTAGTGGGGATTCAGTACAAAAGCTTTATGTATATATTTATATAACCATATGTTGGAGTTGGATTTTTGGACGAAAAAGATAGAAACTATCTACCTATATGAAATGATGTTTATTGATTCTTGAAGTATTATTAAAAAAAAATAATAATATTTTTAGAGATAATTCCTTAATATATTTTTTCATAAAACATCGTTATATTTAGTAGTTGCATATTAATTATAAATTAAAAAATAGAACATATTGTGATAGTTTAAGTATTTAGTTTAGATCAAGCACAGAAGCAAATATGGTCCAATAAAAAAAAAAAAAAAAAAATGTATTTTGAGGGAACTATAGCCCTAAAGCCCCCTCCCCATCCCTACTCTCCCTCCTCCACCGGTGAATCCGCCAATGATGAGCATTGAAGCACTGAAAAGTTTAAAGATAACTAAAAAATAAGAAATAAACAGAGGAGAATTCACAGGGATAAGTTGGGAATTCTTGGAAATATTTCCAGGAGCAGTCCCGAATATGGTACCCTGTGTTTTTTTAGTGTGTTGCGGGTCCATTCGCAGGAGCAGTCACACGCCAACCAAACCGATGGTCTCAGATTTTTGTCATTTTCCTTAGTTGTTGTTACTTGTCCCTTTAAGCGTTCTCATTGACCCTGAAAATCTTATTTTGGTATTTTGAAATAGTTTTCGGAATATTAATTTTCAAAAATGTATAAATTCAAAGTTTTAGGTTTCCTGATATCTTACTGCTAGCAAATCCTAATGTCTTTGTCCAGCTGTATGCTAAGTGAGGGCTGCTTTATATCGAATCACGTGTGTACTTTATGGATAGGTGTGACATGATAATAACTCATTATGATATTTGGATTTGTTTTTACATATTGTAATAGAAGTGGGTTAAATCTAGCTCTAATTTAATGTGGTATTAAAAACTCCTGATTTCCTGTTTCTTTTCTACCTAAATTGTAAGATAATTTGATCACAAAATCGAGAAAAAAGGTGGCCTACAAAAATATTGAGCCGTTTGGCCTATATAATCTATTTATTTTGAAATATTGTAGAGGAGGTCACAACTAATGGTGTGCTATCTTTCGATTTGTGAATATGTATATATTACATTTGTTCTTTTTAGATTAGTCGATATTATTACTTAACATAGTCAAACCACATTTAATTTGATTATTAACTTTTCAAAAATTTATTATATTTTCAATACTTTATTTTATTTGCTACTATCAAACAATATCGATGGAATGTTATTTAAAATCAAAAATAGGATTTTCATGACGAATCGAGGGAAATTAGGTTTATAATTAGCATTAGCTGTCTACCAGACTGTTTCCGCCAGCCATTTTCATGGATTCAAAAAAAGTGGAAATTTAAATTGGGTAATGAAGAGCTAAAAAAATAACTTCGATATAAAGGTTCTACATCTAAAAATTAGATCTAAACATAGATGGTGTTGACAACCTACTTCATTTTGATTTCGATGAGGTTTGGTGGAAGTAGGTCAAATTTACTCTTAATCGGCATCGAACACACATGCTGCTAAAAATCACAATTCATATAATGTTATATTGTTCTATATACTTGCCTGGTGTATATTATTTACCTGGTCTTACAGGATTAATATGTTGTTTTTGTTGTTACGTATTTGACAGGCGGGACGTGTTCATGCAACGAAGTCAATGAACCTGCTTACTTTCAAACTGATTGTCTCAATGATAATGATTGCCAGATATCATTCTTAGAATTGTTCATGTCAGATTATCGTCGCTAAGAAATACCACCAGTTAGTCTTGTCATTGTTCGTCAAAAGAGAAACTTTCTAGGGAAATTGATGACGGAAACAATGCAAGCGATATCATCGGCGCTTATGCACTTATGATGTCGCATTACTACCTTCAAAATTATGCCTGATAACGTTAAACAGTCCGATGTTTTGTTAGAATTTGTATTAAGCTTTAACATTAGGTGGTGAAATTCCTCATTATTTGAGACTTGATATTTTTCTCAAGAATTGATTCAGACATTGGATAGGAATTAAAGCAAATCTCTAAAAAACAGAATAAAAACTCTGAGGTATTTTTTGGATAGGAGGATGGGGAGAAACAACCCACTTTCAATATTCTCTCTTACATAATGGTAACAACAATTTTCATTCAGGTTGGTCATGATTTCCCATACAAAAGAAGTAGTTTCACGTTAAATTCTAAAACTATTTATAGAAAAAACTTGAACTTAATAGGCAGTTCGTCATTGTTTTAAAATTCTCAGCTATTTCATCGGCGTGTGTTGCACTAATTTTTTAATAGAATAATCCAATATTTCTTTCATTCTTAATTTCATATGAGTTGCTAAGGTTGCCTGACTTTATAAGGTTTGAATAAACTCAGTATATTCACATTTATTTAGTGTTATTTGTGAAATTTCTGTTTGAGAAATATCCTAACAGATTGAAATAACCTTATTTTAATTTTTTATAAATTTAATCCTTCTAAGTTCCCCAGAGGCCATTATTGTAGACATCATCTATTTGTAATAATTAAAAATTATTATTAGGTTCTAGAAAGCATTTTTTAATCAGTTGGAGTACATTTTGTTAACCTATACTTATTACAGATATACAGCACAAGGGAACTACAATTCAAAAATTAAGCTTCATAATCGTCATATTTGATATAGTGATCAATAAGTCAGAGGCCGAGTGGTACTTAATGCTTTTTATATATAACTTTATATAAATAAAGTTTTTCTCCTCTTGCATGGAGTTGTGCAAGTTCTTTAATGCTCGGTTACTTATCTCCTCAGGTATGGGGCAGAATATGGAATGGAGCTTGTTGTTAGGCTTACGCAAGACAGCCACGAGCGTCCCCATATCTTACAAGGATCCCCAATTGACAACGACGCCTGTTAATTGAGATAAGAGAGGCTGAACGCCCACTAGCAGGAAACTGGCCATTCTGGAGGACTCAGGGTCATCCTCTCCGTTCCTTCGGTATCTCGAGAAGAAGAGCCGGGAAATGTGATCGTCCAGAAGAAAACTTGAAGAAAAAACAAAACAAAACAGGATTCCTTATAGTTAATAAAAAATCTACAAGGTCTCGGGTACAAAGGTGGCGGGGAATTAGCAGTCTTTTCCCAGTGGGCCATTCTTTCATCCGTGAACAAGATCAGGGTCAGTAGGAAGAAGCATCTTTTTTTCCCATTTCACGATGTTTTCAGTATCGATGCTGTATGTCCTGGGCATTATTATGATCTGTTGAGTAAAAAGTGTCTAAATTGTGCATTATTTCAGCTCTACATTTATTTTTCGATAGCTAGTAAACTTAAATAACACTTGAAAAAAACAGCAGACCTTTATATTAAATAAATTATTTAAATATTGAGGAGGGTGTAGCTCAGTGAGCAAGGGACTGACTTCGGATGCTCAAGGTTCTGGGTTCGAATCCGGCTGGTGGCAGGTAATGATTTATTCTGGTCCTTGCACCCTCCTTGGGCAATGCCAGTCTCTAGAGAATAGATAATTTTAATTAAATAATTAATTAGAGGAGAAACCTTGCGGTTGAACGTGATCTTGTACCGGTCACCTCCTTGCACAGCCATTGACCTTGAAACAGTACCTCCTAACAAAGTATTGACCCCAAGGCCCTTCAGGGATTGTAGTGATACAGTTTTTAAAATTTTTTTTTTGTTATTTATTCATGATATTTACAACTGTATTAAAAAAATTAAATACATTAAGTAAATTTGATAACAGAAAATAATAACATGAAATGACTTTTTGAGAAACAACCCACTGGTAGCACTCTAAAAACAAAATGTATTTACAATTAGAGATCTCGAGGCCATCTTCTTTTCAGACGCCTCGGAGGGTTATCAGGAATAGAAGAGGAAGCAAGGTTAGAGACGAGAGGATTCGGATGGTTCTGAAGTTTATTATGGAAGGATTGGTATCTGGATTGGGCCAAATCGGAAACATAAGGAACATTAAGGTCATTATGGATTATTTTATTGGTGACAAAGTAAG